GCAGCAATTGGAGGGATTGGTCGAAGCCAAGAGCAGCACTGGCTGTGACGCCCGAAATGCGGGGAAGGCCGATCATCACGTGAGTTGGTGGAGGGTGTTTACAAGGCTACGGATAGGTACTAGTACAGTGTGTGGAAATGGATGTGGGGGTTGTAAACGGATTAAGGTATTATTCTTGGTCACATAAGGTAGTATGCTGCCTCTCTGCCCGTCATGCTCTGTTCGCGTGCGTTGGGCGCATGCTAGGGTCCTTGTTCATGGAGTGCCGCCTGGTTGAGGCACCACTGCTCCAAGTACCAGGTTATCAGTCTATAGACCTTACCTCCTGCTATGCTCGAAGTAACACCAGACGTGGTATAATAGATTTGTTCGAGCTGCAGGTCCACGGCCTTAGGCGCGAATTGATGCGAGACGTAAACGGCCTCTCCGGAAGACCTCCGAACCTCTAAGCAGGAAACTGGGTATCCAGTGTTGCCAGAGGGCCGCAGTATACTGGCAATCTGCTATATTATGCTCCTTAATCCGTCCTGCGGCGCACCTCACGCTCCTGGGTGTTGATACCGGAGCCCGAAATAGCATCCATGACCAACTGGCGCAGTTGGCTCTGCGTAGCTTCGCTGTGGAAATCCTCACGCGCGGCCAGCTCATCAATGCGCCGCTTGAACTCGGGGTCCACCTCGTCCATTCCTGCGCTAGCCTCCTGTTCCGACACCGTGCCCAGGTTCATCTGAATGTTCGGGGGAAGCGGCGGAGCCGGGTTTAGTGCGTCGCCAGCCGAGTCGACCTCTGGCTCTGGCACGCCTGCGACCTGCCGCAGATAAGCAGCAATTTGCGGGAAAGAGCCATCGCTCTCAATAGTCTCATAGGCTGCGAGACCCTCGTCGTTTCTCTTGTTGTAGTCCACGCCCAGTTCTTCAACCAAACATTTCGCAATGTCGAGACTTTCCGTCACAAACAGGCAGGTTTCACCATCCTCGTCGAGCAGGTTAACGTCCACGTTGTAGTCCTTCACAAGAGCGCGTAGTAGGTCGATGTGTCCGTAAGAAGCCGCAGCATGGAGTAATGAATATCCGTGCTCATCCTGGTTCGAGGCGATGGAGGGGTTGGACTGCAATAGAGTCAGGACGGCGCCCGGATTATCGGCGGCCAGAACGTAAGGGTTGGGTTGAGTCATAGCGCCGGTTTCACTAGTCGGAGAGGAAATATGAGTCAGTCCTGATAGTGTCTGGTGGCTTTGACAGGTAGTGCCGTACCTTGAGTCACACAATAATTCCAAATGAAGTGGTAATGGAGAAGTGAAGGCAGGATGTGTTCAGTGAATCGAGATGGGCGGACGAAAGTGGCGCGGGCGGAAAAAAGCGCTTTTTCAAAAAAGGATCGCTGCCCCGCATCTTCGATAAGAAACTCCCACTTTGGGACCCCGAACGAGGCTGACGGTGACTCAACTTTTACTCTCATTTTTCGTCGCGTGAGGCTGTATCTTAGTTCTGGATAAGCTTCTAATTGGGAAGGCCGAGCTTGCTCTGTTAAAACCTAAGGCAATTCCTCCCTGGCCACATCGACAACACACCGCGCGTGCCTTCTGCCTTCTCCCCCACCTCCTCCCGCATCCCGACCCTTCATTCCCTCGTTTCTACCGAGTGCAAAACACGAATTGCCTAATCATCTGGATTTGATACGCGCGAACCCGACAGATCACAATGGTGCAGCAGGACGAGCGGGAAGTCGCCGAGCTGGTCACCAGCCTGGAGGCTGCCAGCAGGAAAGGCACAGCTCACGGGAAGAAGTCCGGGTTCAAGTGCAAGAAATCCACCTTTGACGTAGAAAAAGCAGACAAAATCAAGGTGCATTCGTGGAAATTCATGGACTGGGATTACAAACGCGACGATCTGCCGACCTATGCGCGAGGGCTGTTCACCACCCAGAGGAAGGATGGCACCCAGGAGATTGCGGTTCGCGGATACGACAAGTTCTTCAATGTGGATGAGGTGAATGACACAAAGTGGAGGAACATTGAGATGAACACCAGGGGTCCCTACGAGCTCAGTGTGAAGGAGAACGGTTGCATCATATTCATCTCTGGTCTTGAGGACGGCACTTTGTTGGTCTGCAGCAAGCATTCCACGGGTGTTCGTTCAGATACGAACCTCAGCCATGCTCAAGCTGGTGAACGCTGGGTCGAGCGACATGTCACTTCTGTTGGAAGGAGTGTAAAGGACTTGGCACGAGAGCTGCGCAGACTCAATGTCACCGCAGTAGGCGAGCTGTGTGATGACTCTTTTGAGGAGCATGTCCTTGCCTACGACGAAAGCGCTTCGGGTATCTATCTACATGGACTCAACTTCAACGTGCCCCAGTTTGCCACGCAGCCTAGCTCGGAAGTACACAAGTTCGCCGATGCCTGGGGTTTCAAGAAGGCCAACTTTGTTGTGTATGAAGACCTCGATCAGGTCAAGAAATTCCTCGACAACTGCGCTGAAACAGGCACCTGGGATGGCCGCGAGACCGAGGGGTTTGTGGTCCGATGCCATATGGGCGATAAAGGACGGGCGCCATACCGGGATTGGTTCTTCAAGTACAAGTTCGAAGAGCCCTACTTGATGTACAGACAGTGGCGCGAGTGCACAAAGGCAGTCATTGCAGGAAAGGTTCCTAACATCAAGAAGCACAAGAAGATCACTGAGGAGTATCTCCATTACGCGCGGAGACAGCTCGCAAAAACTCCTGGTCTCGCACAGCAGTACCAGCAGAACCACGGCATCATCTCTTTGAGAGAGGGTTTCTTGCAAGAGAGAGGCCTCAACGGATCTGAAATCATCCAAATGGAGTCTGACGAATCCGGTGATGTGACGCACGACGTGATTCTTGTCCCCATTGCTTCACTGGGCTGCGGCAAGACGACCGTGGCTTTGGCTCTCTGCAAGTTGTTTGGATGGGGACAGGTGCAGAACGATAACATTCCGAAGCAGAAGAACAAGCCAAAGAAATTCTCCCTGGACATTACCAATCTTCTGGCCCAACATCCTGTGGTGATAGCAGACCGGAACAACCACATGCGACGCGAACGGCAGCAACTCATAGAGGATGTATCGGTTGTGATTCACAAAGCTCGCTATGTCGCACTCCAGTACGTCCACGAGCCCAAAGGACAATTGCTTCCTGGCATCCGCGAGGTAACGCGGAAACGAGTCCTTGACCGGGGAGACAACCACCAAACCATCCGGGCGGGAAGCAAGAATCCAGAGGAGGTCATTGGAATCATGGAGGGGTTCCTCAACCGGTTCGAGGCTGTTGACACCGATCGTGAGCCAGACTGCTACTTCGACCAAGTAATTGACCTGGATGTCGGTGCTTCTTCGCGTGAGAATCTGGAGACCGTGGTGAAAGCGCTACACTCGTTCTATCCCAAGCTCGTGAAAGAGATTCCGACGGCCGAGCAACTGGATGACGCTATCTACTGGTCGATGAACGAATACCAAGTGCAGCTGGACTGGAGCCATCAATATGGATCCCAGAAACCGAAGAACAAGAACAAGAATCAGAACCAGAACCCCGGCAGCCCTGCACCCACAGCCGGTCCAACCCCCGAAGATCTGGCCAAGAAGATCGAGTACTTCAACATCTCCCTACCTCCTGCAGAGGTGAAACATATCCTCGAGTCTCTGTTTCCCCCGTCTACAGCCCCCGAACAAGCACGTCTCTACAGACAGCTCATCAACAGCAGACGTGTACAGCCCACATTCCACGTGACATTGATTCACCGCGCCTCGAAGAAAGAACATCCCGGCATTTGGGATGAATACGTCCGCCAGTATATCGAGAAAATGAAGAGCAAGCCCGAGTCTGATCCCACCATCACCCCAACGCTGGCTCCGGCTCGCGTACGTCTTGAGCGTCTCATCTGGGACAACCGTCTCATGGCATTCGTAGCGCGGATATTCCCACCAGAGGATCAGAACCTGGCGGAATGGCCGTGCGCAAACGAGACACCCCATGTCACTGTGGGAACTGCGTCGCCCGATGTGAAGCCCAAAGAGAGCAATGATCTGTTGAAGTGGTGGCATGAAGTTGGCTCGGGAGGAGAAACCGGACTTTGGGAGGCCGAGATCCCAGGCGTGAGGGTTGTAGAGGGAACAGTAGGTGTGGTGATGAGTCGGGGCAAATAAGTTAATGACTGATGACGACGAGTCATGAGTGATGATTGCAAGAGAAAAGTACATACTTAGTTACTATAGACATGAAATCGCCTGGTTTGGCATGCAGTATCTATCCTTTGCTCTATTGGACGTATCGAACAACCAGTAGAATCACATCCGCTGTGGAAGTGGTAAAAAGCGGACGAAGAATCAAGGGCTTAACAAAGCATGGTTATCTCATCATACTTGAGTTGTCTTGGATGTATGTTCTATCTTCAAGTTATAGCTAGAAAGCAAAGATCTTACTCTCTCATACTTAATCTGTAGAAGCCTCTATGCATAATTCACCACATACAACAGAAGAAAGGGTAATGGCATACTGTTTTTGGTGTTCTATAATTATTCAGTTCAATCTTTTCTTTCTTTCTCTCGGATGTAGTGAATATATATTATCGAGACATCCATCACCCCATTCGCCCCGACTAACCAGCGATATATTAAATTGACCTACTCCTTTACAAACTGACCAGTTCTTCAACACAGTACACCAATCGCATCCTCTCTAGCCGCGCGCAGAACCTCCTTCATCCGCTCATACAATCCCAAATCTTCCACCGTCCATCTATGTCCATTAGGAATGACCACCTTTCGCAAAGCATTGACACACGAAACCAGAGGCTTATAATACAGCGTGAAGTACTTATCAGCCCACCGCAGAAAATCCACTTCAGTAAACACGAAGCCCTGTTTCATAACAGCCACATCATCTGTATCGGTGAAGTTCCATTTGTCGAATATGGCAACGGCCCTTCTTCTTCCCTTACTACCCGGGGTTTCATAGTGGACGCATATCCAGAAGATCACTCAGAAGAATGATTCGAGATCATGCATGAATGAATGTTTCTCGCCCATGAGTGCGCCGATTGCCATGAAGGGTCTCGTGCCGGTCTTACTGCCGTTTGACTCTGGGGCAAGAATATCTTTTTGCTCTCTAATGGCGAGATCAAGGTCGATTAGGAAAGCTGGCCAGGATGGATTGTTGTTGTTGTTCTTGTTTTCGTTGATCATGAGATTATGGGGTGAGATATCTCGGTGGAGGATCCCTGCCTTGTGTAAGGACTGGTGTCCTGTTATGCATCTCTCTAATGCGGCGAGCAGGATTGAATGGGTGCTTGCTGTGTAGATTGGCTTGCCGTAATCGCGCATGATGACTCGGCGGTGGATACGGTTTGATGGCTTTTCGGATATATCGTTAGGTGATGATAGGCGTGGGCGTTTGCTAGGCGGCAAGAAAGCTCTATCTTGGCTGTAGGGTCGCTCGATGTTTGGTCTATCGGTGCTCTGACCCTTATGCTGGGCATTAGCTACACTGGCACCGGCCGAGGGTGCTTCTGCTTGCTCGGAGTGATGAAGGGTAGTCGCAGTCCTGATATCTAAGCCACCCCGAATGTTATAGCGAACATCATCTACTGTCCACGAACGCAAACAGTGCTATGGTAATAGTACCGTGCGACGTTGACCACCCCGGCGTTGGTAGCTTCCTGAAGAAGACGGCCTTCTTCGTCGTGCTCTGTGTCTTGCCAGGAATCTTTAACAACGAGTGGGATCCCGGGGTCATCTTCACGATACGCTTTCCAGCATGTTGTTGCTCGACCCGCGATACAGGGTGTCCGTTTTATCACTCCCTCGAGGAAGAGACGCTGGACCTCTCCATTCTGCTCTATCTCGATGAAACGCCGGCCATCTTCTGTTATGATGATCGTAGGGTCAAACCAGTATTGCTCGTCGCTTATCCACAGAAAGCCGAGAACGCTGAACACAAACTGGAGACCATTCGTATTAATATCGAATCGATCCGATGCAACTCCCTCGAGACGATCAAAGGTCCATGTTCTCATGAAGGATCCACATATGGCAAAACCTAAGACAAACCGACGGGTATCCTGGGCAGCGAGGACTTCTCTAGCGCTCCTCCCCAAATCCAGCCATGTCTTCGCAGCGGTATCAGCTGCTGGATTGCTCTTCAGCACTCCAGGTACGAGAATCTCCGCCCAAAGGCATTTGGTATCTTTTCCTGCATTGATGTCGCTAACGAAGCCAATGTCCAGCTTGCGCTCCTCCGTAGAGCCTTGGATGGGCTTGTTGGGTCGGGCCAGTGGCCTTCGTAGCTGTGCCGACTCGGGACGGTAGTCTTTTGAAAGGTCAGCAAGCTTGTCAGTGAGATCTGATAACCAAGTCAAGACGTCTTCCTGGTTTGCATCTCCTGGCCAGCCCTCCCACCTATCAGCAACAAAAAGCGGATTTCTGCCTTCCATGCATCTGCCGAATACGGCCCGGGACGCTTCTTGCAGACCACTTACGCATCCAAAGAACGCCGAGTAAAATTGCGGGATTCCAACATACAGAGGTCCAATCTCAGCCTTGAGAATTTGATCAATATATTGGTGGTGCTCGGAGAGGGTTGCAAAGCTACTTGTATTGTGGACCCGTTGGGTTTGTTGGGAAGATGCATGGGTGTATTCAGTAACTGCATCATTGATACTTTCCCAGAGATCGTTATCTGGCGTGCAAGCAATAGCTGAAGCCAATATAGGCTGTACAAGGGAGAGATCAAACCCTTCTGAAAGAACAGCAGACTTCAATTTCTGGATGTTGTGCAGGGCAGCGGCACGGCTATACCTGGGCGTTAACTCGCAAATCGCAGAGTGTTCTAGGTCCAGCAGAAGTTGAAGAGTGAGGTTTTGGATATCTGTATGGGATTTAGAATAGAGGATGGGAATAGCTCGGTAATTGCATCGTTTTACCTATATGTGGAAGATAATTGAGCGCATCTGACGTGCAGGGGAGGTCGTTTGCTTCACAGATAGAATTGAACAGTCTGACGAAGTCCCTATTAAGAGCATTCTGCATACTTTCGTTTACCGTTTTGATACTGGCGTCGTCAGCCATGTTAGAACAGATACTGATGCTGCAGGTCTTTTCCTAGAGCGGGAAGATGTCGGTAGATGCGGGCGCGGCGCTGGTAAGTAACATTTATATATTGGACTCAGTGTTGTTGCTTGGCCTGTAATACACGGAATATTATAACTGTTGAGACATATCTCTCAGTCTGCTCTTTTGATATTCTCTGGACTTTTGAAAAGAAAGAGAAAGAGAGAGGCCACGTGGGCAGCAGAAGTGGCTTTTAAATAGTCATGCAGGAGGCATTCACTGTAGCCATGCTTTTCATCTTCATCAGCTTCTTATTCAAGTTCATTCTTATTCCATTCAATGAGCCAAGCTAGTATAACATAGTGCACTATATGGGACACTAGATATGTGTCTAGTTTAGTGAATAATTCCTGAAATTAGATTTGGGTGGTAGTGAGTGTAACGATACATTGAAGCAGGATATTTGGATATTATCAATTGTTAAGACATTCACTGTGGCCATGCACTAGTACCTGATCTCTTAACCACCTCTTCCTCCTACGTGGCTTGACCTTACTTACCGGCGCCAACTGATGTCTTGAGCTCTGGTTCGATAATATATATAAATTTAAAATCGCCCTTACCTTTCGTCTCGAGGTGTCTGGTTGTAGTTGTCAGTTTCTATTCAAATGTAAATGTCATTTCTGTGGAAATATGACCCAGAAAATGTCATTTGATGTTATTATACGATTTAAAAGCATTTTACCGAAAGGGGCCAGTAGTATACTTAAGGAAGAACAAAGAGAAGAGGGAGATTAAGGGGACGCTACTAAGAGTTTGGTGGAATGAATCAGATAGCTATGAGACATTACATAATAGTAACTATATACTAGAAAGCTTCTTCTGTCAGAGAAAGTCCTATTGTGTCAAGTAACAGTGATTCTAGAAAAGAATACGAGCAGCGCCGATAATGGAGTATCAACCCATATTCAGGAAGATGAAGACTCACTCCCCTCTCTATAAACTCTTTTCGGCTTCCCGGGAATCAACATATAGCTGTGATTCCCCATCTTGACCATCCGCGACAAAATACGCGCCTGCTGCACACCCGTAGACGTTGCAATGAGATCGAGTATCTGCATAATCCAGTCCTTCGTATGAGGCGATATACCCGCACAGTCCGAGGCAAGATACAAAGGCCATGGCAATCGAGCGACGGCCCCCAGGGCAGCGTCGCCTGAAGTGAAGAAATACGGGACGCTAGCGCAAATGTCCTCTGCCAGTTGTTTATTGATGGAGATAGACTTGTGCATGAGTTGAGGTGATTCAGGACTTGCCTGATGGAGACACATTGCTTGGATCATCTCGTGGAGAATGATCCGCGCTTGGCGATAGTGGTTCCAGTACACTGCGTTGTCGATATTTGGATATACGTGAGATTCCGTGTCGTGGCTACGGAAGTTTGAGAAGGACAGTGGAGTGTTGATGGTTGTATATTGCCAGTTTGGGCTTAGGGAAGTCGCCCATGAGACTAGATTGGCGTCAAGATCGAGGGCTGCTTGGATTAAAGGAGCGATGTTTCCGCGGAAGCCAGTCGTGTTATATGTCTCCTTTATTGTTATGGAGAGATCGTTGTATGCGACTAAGATGTTGTAAAAGTCTTCCATTGTCTGAGAATCAGCATCACCAATGGATTTTGCATATTTTGATAATGCAGCTATCGTTGGCGAGCGATGACAACTCGTTCTGAAGAATATGTTGATCATGGCCTGACAATGACATGTTAACACTCCGAGATTAGTGCTTATGATGTGACTGAGGAATAGCTAACAATCTGTAGGCGTGTGCTGGCGAAGAGGCGCCGCCCAGCCGTTGATTCAAATTGCTTCATTCCTCGCAACTCAAGGAGCTTCAGCGCTCCTCGGGCGTGATTTAGCCAGGCGTCCATCATCTGTGATTGGCCTGAGATAATCTGTTTACTAGGGATTAATAACCCACCTACAAGCACACAATGTAGCAAGACACATTACCTCGTACATACTCAGCGTGACCACAGCTCCCAAAGTAGAGTCCGAAGTAGCTAGTACTGCATCCTGAAGACTCGTATTGGTGGCCCGCAAAGCCTTACTGTACTCCTCTGCAGCCGATCGTGCCAATTCAGGCCGGTGGTAGACCCTCGACATGCATGCCAGTCCTATGGCTTTCATGGTGGCCTGAAGTGCATCCGAGGGGTCAGTGCGCAGCAAATTCGGCAAATAGCAGAGAATGCCGGGGTTCTGACTAGTGCCGACATAATACTTGAAGATGTGAGACATGGCTTGTTCCTGAATGTGGGTGGTGGGCCCTTCGATCAACGGCGGTGTCTTCGAACTTTCTGCAGTGTCTGCAGTGGGGGATCGAGAGGCCTTGCGGGTACTGGCAGCCCGGGCCAAGGCCTTGGTGGTTACAGCGGCCGTCTGATCAAAGAAGCGAAGGGCTTGGAGGTCTTGGTATCCTGGGCATTCTTTACCTATCCGCAGACATTGAGAGCATGCAGGTCTTTCCTGGTCGCACTACTATAGAGTCAACAGCCTATCATTCAGGCGTGAAGGTGCATCGACGTACTTTTAGGCGCCGCTTCCGGCATAAAGCACATCCTGGGCTGGGCTTTCCTCTGTAAACCATGGTGGCCTGAAAGGGTATGTGGTTCGGAAGGTGGACTTAATCTCTGAGATTATCCCCGCTTTAAAGGTCCATGCTGAGTTGTCGAGGTCGGAGCTTGTTACGAAAAGGAGACTAGAAGCAAAGCAGTTCCGTCTTCAGCCTCGACTCAGCCGCGTGGCATCAAAGCTAGATCGGTTCCACCGAGCCTCCATAGCTGGACGAAGCATATACTCCAATCAGATAGCCATACATAAGTGTCAGATTGAGCTTAGCAATATTGGTGGCTCGAAGAAGCTTGTTCCTGAACCAGCGAGAGCAGAGTCATGCTGTATCATGAGTGGCTCGTTAACCAATTCCGAAGAGCCTTATTTATTAACTTAGAAGATGTGGCTTCAATCGGCATCGGGGAATGCTTACCGCCAAACTGATGAGTCTCTCGCTTGTAATTGACCTAGTTGACCACCCCACTTTCCCCTCTGTTCGAGCTTGTCCTAATGCAGTAACCAGTTCGGTACTTATGATGTATCCTGAAGCAGCGCTGGGGGCAAGATGGTATCATGTTATGTAGTTGGTTTCTCGAACCATGAAATGTGCATCTATCGGTGTCACACATATGCAATGGAAATACTTTCCGTGATATCAAGTCTCGTGTTCTAGCTGGAGCGTTACACTGCTAATCGGGTAAATGCTCTACCTATTAAGCTTGAATGGCTATCTTTTCGCCATACAGGTACTTGGATTCCAAAAGGGCAGGCAGTCTGCATAGACTATGCGATGCTAAATTTTCCTCCCGAAGGAGGCTCGTAGTCGGTGACTGAGTGTTTCTCTAGAAACCGTCCTTGATCAGACCCTGGCTCTGTACAGCAGCTCGATGCTTCTGCCCAGTCCCGCTTCGGTCGATAGTCCTCAGCTATGAACTGGCCGATCGCTCATATGCGATCAACTGAGGGGCTTTCAGTTTGCTCTGGAGCGGCTGGCAATGAAGTTGATATGTCGTCTTTCGAAGTATATAGTAACTTATCCACCGTGATTGAGGCCTTCCATCACCTAATCTTGGTAATGACTGGTCTTCTAGCGTCGACACCCCTCCGGATTAATCTTTGTGCTGACCGACTCAATGGGGATCTCACAAAATTATCTCGCGGCTCATGTGGGAAGTAAATGGTTCCAGAGGAGGAATAAAGGTACTGGAGACGCAAGTAATTCAGCTCTGGCATCGCCGTAGACAAGAGTCTGAATAGACCGTCGAAGTGACCGTCAACATGAATCAGCTTCAAGTCCAAGTGCACCAGTCGAGTAAGCTGACGAAAAAAAGTCATGAGCGTAGCTTCAGACATTCGAGTGTCGCACAAGGTACACTTCTTCAAGCCCGGGAATTGGCAAGATTCTACTACCCGATTGAAGAAGTATAATTCCTCCCTTACCCCGGCCGTCTCGTCGAAGTCATCATACTCCCACACCAGGTGCAGCTCCTCGAGGGTAGGACAAAGGTTCAAAAGGTGTGCGAGTGATCGGGTGTTCTCCCGGGCTTCTTCGTAGCTCGGCGTTAACTCGAAATCGTCCCCTGGCCTTGAAGGGGATTCCCGGGGCCTAAGGAAATCTATCTTATGTATGTGATGCGCCAAGCTTAGTCCTATCTTCTTGCATGGTTGGAATGCTGCCGCCAGCCTTGTCAAGTCCGCCGTGCTGCCGCCGAATACAGCGGGGATCTCGCCGAAAGGGAAGCTACAACGCCCCCCATATGTGTGAGAATAGCCATCTGCAAAGGCATCAAGTGACCGAAGAGGCAGCCCAGAACTCTTGAGGGCTGACATTGTCACTTGGAACACTCTGTCGGTGAGAGCTCCCAGATAGCCGTCCCCGAAAACCTTGAGGGTAATTGATAAAGGCTCATCGTGCGGTGAGTTATTATGTATATTCGCAAACCCTTGCACCAGTAACTCAAACACTCTGGGGCTAACAGGGGGCACTTCTTCAGTGTGGAGGGCAATAGACGTATACAAAATGAGATCCTGGACCCAAAGCCCGAACCGTCCTGGCTGGGTAACTCCAACGAACTGCTCAAGCGGGGCCTCCGCGATTTCCAATTTCTTGGAAAGGAAATAATTCCGAAATGTAGCATTAGATGATTTGACGGAGATGGTGCGTCCAGTCAGACGCAGAGCGCAGTGAGCGTGGAAGTCTAGCCAAGCCACAATTTCCTCGATCAACTCCACCGGAAGGCTTTCAAGTGTCACCGACGCCATGGCCGGAGAGCAGTCTGGCGCTATCCAGATTCCACCGGGGAAAGGAAGAGGGTAGCAGGAGAAAGACCCCAGTAGGCACTTGGCGAGATTAAGTATGGTTCTTGAGAAGTTGGACTAGTGACTCTTGGCGGATGGTGGTTTATGTCGCTTTGGCGGAGTCATTGACGCTCGGGCCTGAGATATCAAGCTTTTGCCAAACGTGGATTGGCTGATTCGTGAGACATTACTTATCGCCATTGACCGGGGTTGAAATTAGATGATGGGACTGTATGGTCATATGAGGCGTGCGTCGGTTTTAGCCGCTGCCCTACTGTCAATTAGTCTGCTGTTAGGCTGATGTCGGAAGAACTGGTTTGATGGTCTCTGTAGCGATTATGATGGCGGTTGGTTAGTGGTGAGGTGCTTTCCAGCTCTGATACGTTGATGATATCCGAACCCTCGTCGTAGCAGGCCTTAGCGTGGCAAGACCCTGAACTAGGCGATGCACTAAACAGCCTCGAGGTTACATCGAGGGGATATGATAGGGAAGCCGTATCCCAGCACATTCCTCTTTGGTGCCTGTGATACCTATCGCCAGATGTCACCGTCTTTTCTCATTTTAGCGTAGGATTAAATAGTCCATTAGTACGCGCCGGACTTGTGAAATCCCTACCAGATGGACCTAGTACCTGGTGGGAGCAGTAGTTATATAATGACCGAGCATCACCTGCGCCCGAGGGCGCCGATCTTGATTACGCAGCAACCGCAAGTCCAAAATGTCTGGTCTTCTGGGGAGCCGAGGGTTCTGCTATCTTTTCGTGCATCTTGCAGCTCTATTCACTCTAACCCCAGTTGTCCACGCTGCCGTCGCTGTCGAACCTGGAGCATTCGGACAGTTATTCCAGCTGGCAAATAACCCTCCTTTTCCCTTGGCCACGGCCAACGAAGACTCCGAGACGTTGTCACCGGTCACGAACTCGATGCAACTCGGTGAAGGAAAGGAGGAGCAGGACGCCTTGCAAATGATGACCTTTATGAACGACGCGACCAAGACAGACTTATCATCGACCGTAACGTCAGTTGACACAATGCAAAACGGCAACCTACGAGTAATGATCGTAGGAGACTCCATGTCCCAAGGAAAAGAAGGGGACTACACGTGGCGGTATCGAATCTGGGAATGGTTTCGGGCGCAAAACATTGCCGTCCAGCTGGTGGGCCCCTACACAGGGACCGCGCCGTCCGAACCGCAGGCCCACGGGGAGCTCCAGCACCAGACCCCGCTGGGCCAGCCCCCGACCAGTGGCGGGTACGCCCCCGACGTGTCCCCGGACTTTGATCGCCATCATTTCGCCGTGTGGGGCCGCGTGGCCGCCATCGACAAGGACTTGATCTATGATGTCCTCAGTGCCCATCAAGCAGACTTGATGCTGCTGATGCTGGGGTTTAATGACATGGCTTGGTTTCAGAGTGATGCATCGGGCACCCTGGACAGTATCCGTACCCTAGTCATCAATGCCCGCGCAGCCAATCCAAACCTCAAGTTCGCCATCGCCAATGTTCCCCAGCGCACCCTAATCCCGGGCCGAGAGGATATTCCGTTCAATACCAATATCTATAATGCGTTGCTGCGAAATGCTGTCCCAGAGTGGAGTAGTGAAGGTTCGCCCATTCATCTGGTCGAACTGCAGGAGAACTACGATTGTGGGCCAGATGCATGTCCTGCCGGTTATGATGGACTGCATCCGAATCCTGTGGGAGAGTATCAGATCGCTCGCGCGTTCAGCCTTACTCTGGTGAAGGATTACGGGATCGGAAACTCTCCGTTGATCATTCCTGATAAGATTCCAGAGGGGCCTCCTCACTCGTCGTTCAGTTTCTAAGGGAGATACAGCAGTATTCTCCCTGTGCAATCCGAACTATTCTCCTCAGCCCACCGACGTATACTTAGATTCAAGATTTAGTCTACAAAGCCTAGAATACATCATCTTATTCGGTGATAATGTATGTCATAGCAATTTCCATCACTGCCCCCCACCCCCTCTGTCCCTCAATCTAGACCATACAAATCAAAACAGCCACTCAAAACGAGGATGATGTCCCGGACAGAAGAACTCCAGGATACTATTATGCACACTAATCGAATGGAAATAAAGTTCTGAAGATAGTATCATATGGATGTCCTCCCCTTGCATGAGTCTTTTACGTTGTTCTTCTAACGAGTAGATTCCATCTGTGTAGAAGGAAAATAGAGAGCAAGGGGGTAGACGTTGGCTAATAGTTATGCAGCGGAAGCAGCGCTTGATAATAGACCTCGGCAGTATCATCTCGGGTGTGGCTTACGTGGTTGGTTACAGACTTATCGTAGGACTTAATTCATTGGTCAATACAGTCAAGGCACTTCATATGGCTTAGTATATCTGAATATGGAATCGCTATTGCTACTGAAGAGGGGCAGTGGACGAACAGATTTTGGATATTAGACTCTACGACCTGATGGTCTATGGTAACATTAGGGGCTGAAATGTGACTCATGATGGGGTATTTCGTGGTTACGGGATTCGACTACATCGTGTAGAGAACCTTACCAGGAATGTCTGGAGTAAATTATCAGCTACCTCAGGGGTTACAACTATTACCTCAATATCCCAACTAAACATTTATGGGTAAATCCTCACGGAGTTAAGAAAATAGTAACTGTAATGCATATAGAATGCTCACATATGACTCTTACCCGAGGTACCTACCACGGCACTAGGTAAGCTGACAGGGCTTGCAGCAAAGCAATCCGGTTATATAGAAACCCGAACCATATCTTAATTGTTACTTTACCGCTCCCTGGCGATAATGAAATAAGCCAAGGATCATGCAGTTTTTTGTGCCAGTATCTTGACAGGAGACCAGTTATATACCGTTCCCTTACGTTCAGCGCAAAGACTCTGCAGTTCCGCCTCATGCTTGGTCACAAGAGGTACAATCCCCTCCGCACATGTCAACTTAGTACCGCGCAATATCTCACCGAGAGCAAGGAGATATGTGTCCGTGCATTTCTGAACAAGGAATTCCTGGAACGATTCTGTCTTGGATTCTATAACTTCCAGATGTGCTTCCTCCAGATCGCGAGGAAGTTTAGTGACCCAGCTGTAATAGTGTCAATGAGCCTTTGATACCCTCACGACTATCAACAGTACTGGGAATAATAGGTAAAAGGGAGTAGATCTTACCTAAAGTCTAGACCAACATTCTGAAATAGACACGGTATATGTTCTGCAAACTCAAGGGCCTTAGGCCCTTTTACCAGTTGGTGAATTAGATCTGCCTCCTCCCATTGGATATAGCCTCCCGGCTCTAGTATATATTAGATGAACGTTGCCATACTTGGGGGTGGTGAGCGCTACTTAGCAACTGTTGCAAATGTGAAATCAGCGGCCCGGTGTTGCCATCTCGTATATTACTCGCCCACATCCGGACATGTACAACATCGTATTGCCCGACAAGTGTGGGAGGAACATCCTTGAAGGCATCCAACAGCGCTAGCTTCACGTTCCGTGGCCACATATGCTTCGGAGGATATTGAGCCTCCGAGATATCGAAGCCATGAAGTTGCACGGTAGTTGGCATCGACGGGGCTAGGTCAAAGAGCCAGATCCTGTACTTTGTTAGTGTATATTCAAATGCTGATTTGGGCATGCAACGAAATCCAAACAGGATGGATCCATGCCCTCGAGTCAGAAAAAGACAATGAACTGCATTACCCATTGCCAGTGCCAATTTCCGCTATCTTCATGTCTGGAGTGATTGGAATATGAGGGTGAAGTGTATATCCAGTATGGAGCTTCCATAGAAGGTGCTGAGCATCCAATCTAAAGACATGAATGAGCAGGAGCGTCTGATATCAACAGCCCGCATTGGAACCATACCGAACTGAATCCGATAGTCCTCTACCGAGGGGATATAGATCAGTGTCAGTCATTGTTGATGGGGTATTATCTGCTATGTCTTAAAATCTGCTTCCTGTAGTTGAGTGTAGTATGAGAAGTACAGAGATGGAAGATGAACGGACAGACCGGTATATATGTCCATCGACATTCCTTCTATGCAAAGTTGAGATCCCCAACCGGGGGAACACTGTCACGTGGGTCAACCTCACTCATGTCTTCATCAAGTTCCATGCCGCGCTTATAGAGATTGTAATAGACCAATCATGTACCAAGATCCCTTGCGTGAATGTACGACAACGCCTTGGGGTATCCCTACTCGAACGATCGACATTGAGTGTGAAGAAGTACTCATCATAGTCTAACATACCAGAAGAAACTTGGTCGAACTTGCGAAATTGTCCCGCAACTAGCATTGTCTGTCTCTTCCGCGTGTCTCCAACCTGGATAACATCATGCTACGGCTCGACATAGAAGTGCCGGTACTTTTAACAGCAATTCCATAAGGGATTAATTAGCCTCAGCAATCATCACGCCTATCTGGTGTACCACTCACCGTGATGCTGGAAGAAATCTAAGCCCACCACTCCTAGGCCCTGGAGCGAGGTTACACAACCTCGAGCACGTTGCTGGCTGCGGTGAAATGGCCGTTACTACGTCTCTATGTCATTGCATTCTCTAATGGTCGTACTATGCGCGCCTTCTAGGCCAGTTTTCAACTACATCTAGCTGCTGTACGCTTTACCGATGCTTGGATTATCCTGCCTGATCTACAGCAAGATTGTCTGTTGCTCGTGCACTGGACATGGAAATTTGAAGAATATCATTTGGCCCAATAGAGTAAGTTGACGTCAATAAAAAGCATGTTATATTCTTCCTCTGTTCAAGGAACAATGGAGCTAGTATGAGCGGTATGTCACACAGCCTTAGGAATCCTGCTCGCTAGCGGCCTTTAACAAGCGGCCTCGTTATATCTGAGCGGCGATTAGCCCGCAAACTTCCCCTAAAGTATTATTTTGCAGATAAAGAACATGAAGTCATGAGATATTGTGATAGTGGCATACCATTCCCTGTCCGAGTACTAACTAGGAACTAGGCTTCCTCATTTTGAACGAATGGCTCGGGTCTTTCTCTGCAGAAGCCCGATATAGTCGCGGCAAGCCAGGGATATCCTGTATGTTGATTTATCTGTATCTGATACCAGATCATTTATGTGTTCATTGAGCGTTTTGCCCCAAGCAATTGGTGGGATAGAGGCCGATCTGAACAGATGAACCTAACAACTCTTATCACTCAGCTTTCCTTCTTGCCTATCCTGGCCTTAAAGGGGCTTGTGAAGACGTATCTGCTTCTGAAACTGTATAATGTTGCGCATTCCTGTGCGGCCTCAAAAACCCTATCCCTGCCTTAGTATAGTGAGCTTGAGACTAACTATCCGACACGAGGAGAATACAAATATCCTCGCTGGTTTGTTGTTGACTTACAAAATACAGCCCCACAGTTTTACTATCATTCTCAACAGCTGCAAGCGTGACAACATCAACCGACCCACAATGTCATCCACTCGTATATCAATCACACTCTCCTCTCCCTCTAGCAACCTGCTCAAACCAGTCATATCTGTCCTAGAAAGACATAGTGGCTCTGAGTACTACGTCTACGAACGCAAAGACTGCTGGCATATTGGTCTTGGATTCCACAGATCATTGATAATCGACTCCAGCGGAGAGAACATAACAACATCAGTAGCTGGAGAACCAAGCCATCACTTCCCAGTGAAGCAGCCGCTACCTGATATAGCTAGAGAATTCCTCCATGAGTATTGGAACCACACAACCAAAGTATACGGACACGTTGGGTTCAACTATGCAGCCCATATTCGGGGCCTGAATTACACACCTGGCCAATGGCCCTTACTAGCCTTGATGATACCTCGCATGGAAGTACTCATCGACTCAGATAAAATCACAATCACCGGGGATGACACCAAAGAGGTCCTGGAATTGTGCGCTCTGCTAAAAGAGACATGTCGGTGTCACAACACACCATCCCCCGATCATGATATTCAACACGTTGACGTAAATGAGAACTCCAGCCAATACAAAACCCTAGTGCAGCAAGCCCTATCACAAATCCAGCAGAACCACTACACGAAGATAATCTTATCTCGACCAGTCAACCTCCAAGACCGAGTGAACATGCCATCAACACTGCACTGTGGTCGTCAATCCAACACGCCCTCTCGCAGCTTCTCCCTCCGCCATGGCGACTACCAAGCCACCGGATTCAGCCCCGAACTAGTCATGTCCCTAGCCAAAGGGGTAGTAACCACAGAGCCTCTAGCCGGGACACGCTCCTGCAAAGGCACAGAAGCCGAAATCCAACGACTCCGACATGAACTAGAAAACGACAGCAAAGAAATCGTCGAGCACGTCATCTCCGTCAAAGAAGCCGTGCACGAAATCAGCCAACTCTCCGACAAGCCCATGGTAGAAGACTTCATGTCCGTACGGGTACGGGGCAGCGTGCAACACCTTGGTTCTCGGGTCTGCGGACGTCTATCCCCGGATAAAGATATGTGGGATGCGTTCAATGTCCTTTTTCCATCGATTACTGCGTCGGGTATTCCGAAACAGGCTGCTATTGATGCTATTACTTGCCTTGAGTCTCAGCCTAGAGAGCTCTATTCGGGAGCTATTCTGATGATCGAGGATGAGAATACCATGGAGGCTGCACTTGTGCTTCGCTCTGTTTTCCAGGATCGTGATCGTCAGTGGATCCAGGCTGGTGCTGGCGTTATCGCGGAATCGGACCCTTCCAGGGAGTTGACTGAGACTTGTGAGAAACTTGCCAGTATTGCGCCGTTTGTTGTGAGGGAGGCGAAGGGATTGGGGGATAGGCTGAATGGGTATCATTGATGGCAGATTTCATATCTTCATTGTAGTGATGCTTGCAAATTGTATGTTAGATTGTCTTACCTACATCCAATAAACCTTTTCCTATTTAATGACCCTCTCATTCCTCTCTTTTCAGTGTGGGGAATAGAACGGGATGCAGAATTTTGTGAACCATGTAAATGTTTAGTGTAAACACGTTGGAAACCATGATCAAACCAGTTCTTACCTACACTGCCTCCTACACATCGAAGTAGAACATCATTTGCCTATATATATCATCGAGAGTATACTACAACACAGACCCACATGCCACCTGCTGCAGCTGTAATCAAGTACTAATTTGAACCCATACTATTGAATGGCCGTATGGGATGGGTTTTATATACTAACTAAAACAAACCATTGATCTAGATATAGTAGTAGAAGCAGCACAGGGACTGACTGGAGGATGATCTGGCGATAGATCGATCATCATTATATATCACATACCACATACGCTTTCAGAGATTTTATCACCTGATAAACGCATCAGTGTTAAGATTGCACCAAGTCAATGTGACAATACTCATAAGAGAGGACATTGCTTATTGTCATTCTAATAGCACAAGAGTATTTAGGTACCCAGTTTACACCCCTGTCTCTCGTGCGGTCAATATAGACAGCTCAAGAATTATTATACAACCTATATAAAGCTAAACTACTGACTAATGTATTCGCTGTCTGGTATATATTAAGGGAGAAAAAAGGTAAGAGCTGTACAAGCAAGCGTATACCGGCCGTTGAACCCATGTCTATCATGACGAGCCTGCGATCAAATAAAAAAGTATACAATGTATGCGCGTCCCAGAAGGAGGCGCAGGGTAGAGCAAGATAGTCCGGTCTCCGGTGGTAGCAAGGCTTCAACAGTATCAGCTGGTCATCCACGAAGTGACACGCTGAGCTCCGAATCTTCCCATAAACTGCAGTCCAGTACTACCCATCGGGAAGTAGCTGACAAGGTACCAGAGCAGGGCAGCCAGCTGAAACACCGACGAGATGAGCGTCAACAGGGTTGAATGAAGCTAGAGGAGAAAAGACGATTAGCAACCGGTATTCTCACTGGTGTTCTTGGTGTGCACGGGCCCGACTGGGGTCTACAGTAGCGCATGCACATCCAACCTGCTACTGTTGCAGGACGATGTGAGAGATCATATTCACGACCGGGGTGGCGGTGCATTATGATGTCATATCGTCGGCTGAAGGCTCCGAGTGTACGCGCACGACCCAGGTATGCAAGATCCTCGAAATCGACAGGTTGGTATGCGATCGCAGAGGCGTACGCTCAGATAGTACAGGCATACACAACATGGTCCGGCAGGGAAGATCCTGGGAAATGTAGCTAGAGCCAAACAAACAGGGGTACTTACTCCGATAGCAAAGTACAAAGTCATGGCGATCGAGCCGAAATAGGCCGCCGTGAAGGGCAGACGTGATCCCGAGACCAGATGTTTCGCGTAGACCAGGGGTCCCATGAGGACTGCCCATGATAGGAGAAAGAGTAAGGATCCAACCGACCACCTAGTTCAAGAGGTAAAACCGGTTCGATCAGCCACAGATTCACAGGAAGTTCCTTGGCAAACAGTATGGGTGAAGCGTGATGGAGGGTTCAGCACGGACGCTGGAATGTAGTCGGATCGGAGACGCGTGGTGCATAGTCCCCAGCGAGGAGGGCATGACAAGCACTCCCCGCCTCGTGCCCCCCCCCCGGTGGGTGGGCGAAGTAGGGGATGTATTGGGGTTCGATAAAGATCAACGGGGGATCTGTAGAGCAACTTACAGGATGGCAAATTTGCGGGGTTTCAGTGATAGGACCGGGAATAGGAAAAAGCAAAGGAGGAAGCAGACGGCGGCACCAAGGTTGCATGCGATGAAAATGAGCATCCGATCCCATCGACTTACTGTAAAGGGAATGTATGATTAGCATTAGCCAAAAGTTAAAAGGGGAGGAGGTAGGGCGGCAAGAAGAAAAATAGAAAATGCGTAGAAGCGCAGGAAAAAAAAAAAAAAAAAAAAGAAAAAGGAACGAAAAATGGAAAATAGGAAAATTAAACGGTGGATGACAAAGTATAGTCCCATAGGTAAATAGACAGTAGAGTACATCACTCAGCTTTTCCTAGGGCTTCCGTGGAACCCAGACAGATGCAGGAACTGAGTCTCTGTCACCTGGACTGGGCAGTGCAGCAAATCAAGGAAGAGAGCATCTTTACGGAAAATCGGTCATGCGTTCGGAGGACTTACAGGCAAAGAAAGTATCTTCCTCCTCTCGGCGACTTGCGGCGGGTAGGGGAGCTCCTGGAGCTTCATGAGTGGGCAGTTGCAGATAGCCCTCCCCTTGACCAAATGGATTCCAAGACTGTAACCGTGAGAGGATAGGCGTATTCGACGAGTTATTGCGGGCGGAGAGATCTGGGTCTCGTCGCGACCAACCCAGGGAGTTGACCGAATCGCGGAATGAATTGGTAGCCATGACTGCTATTCGCTTCTGTGCCGGGCCAAGTTACACTCTGGTGGAAGAGGGGCAGGGTGAACGAAATGAAAGCAAGATATTTGCCTTCGGACAATGTTGCTACCGGGGTTGGTGTACACTGCCAGTCGACCACTGGAAGCGCGACACTGCGGTGACAAGGAGAGAAAGGCTCTGCAGGGACTATGCACGACGGAAACCAATATGCGCGTGCAGATGATCTGCAGATATCAATGATGGAGGGGGGGAAAGACGACGGCGAGAGAGTAACCGGCGGTGATAGGATCGAACTAAAGCGGGCCAGATGACTGTTGCGCAACCGGACTAGACTCCCGAGGAGCTTGGGCACGGGACAAACCTAGCGTCCGCTAATAGAAACTTCGGACGTTGGTGGTCCACTGGTGTCTTCTCAGAGTGAAGCTGATAAGCTTGTGATCGCCCTCCTGCCCGATTCGGAAAAGTCGTGTTATCGATAGTAACCTGTCACCAAAGGGGACTGCGCCTCCTGGAGGTAGTCGGCCTATTCTTAGAGGAGGAAATTGCGAGAGCTCCTAGCAGTAGCGCAGACTGAAACAGTATCTCCGAACGGCCGATGTAACAGTTCTAATAACCCAGTGTGTCCCACGAGCTGTAAATCGGGGGTTTAGTCTCCCACCCCGGCGCAAGGAATGCAGAGATCGAACGGCCAATTACCCAGCCGGGAGAGGAGCTGCGCCGACCGGAGAATGAGAGGGAGGGTGGAGGAAGCTGCAAGATGATGACGATGACGATGACGATAATGGGGGTAGAGAGAGCGAGGATGGTAGCTGGCGTAACGCTGGGGCCACCCTAAATTCAAGACAGAGATCGGCTCTACACAGGCTGCAAGATTAGCCAGTCGTCATCTGACTTGGGAGGATAAAAGGAGGAGGAGGAGGAGGAGGAGGAGGTCGAGCAAAAGACGAGAGGGGAAGTCAAAGGAGGGGGGGAGGATATGTGGGTGTGGGTGTGTGTGTGGGTGGGCGTTGAGCAGGTGGTCGCGATGAGTGTAGGCAGAACAAGGCACGTAGCCAGAACACCACCACTACCACCACCACCATTACCAGTAAGAGAGATAGAGAGAATACGGTCACATACCAAAGCTCGCAGAAACTGATACTATCTCCGAAACGCAAAAGGATGATTGAGTGTGGTTGTCAACAATGGGGGAGCCTCTTTACCCACGGGTGTCGCGATAATTATCGGGGGATGATTGCTTTCCAGCAGCAGCACCGCCCATAATCGCCGTCGCAGTTGGAATGGGAGTTCGTCCCTTTCCTGCAAAGCTGGGGTGGGTTACCCCAACAGCCAATCAGCAGCCTCATTTACAGAGACGGTGTCCCGGTGACGGATCTAAACCCAAAACGAGCTGGTGACCCCAGCTGAGCAGTTGCTCGACCAATCACCGCTTGAGATGGCGCCATGGCGGACAGGCTCGATACAATTCATTGGCTGGTTTGAAGACCATGGGAGAGTTCGGCCACACCGCCCATGGGGGGTTAAAACCGTTTGGCGCCTGTTCCGCTGACCAGGTCGCGTCCTTACCATACCGAAACATACTTAGTACTTCCCACTGCTACTAGCAGTACTAGCGCTACTAGTAGTAGATACAGACAGTATTATCAGTAGGTGCCGGTAGCCTACCTACTACTTACTTGCCTTGGAACATTTCGTCGCCTAGGTCAAAACAGTGCCCACCCACTAACTACATGACTAGTCATCTGTAATTGGTGCCTATCTCCAAGAGCAACCAAAAAACCTGTTCAGGATTGTGAAGGTGCGTTGCTCCCTCATGGTTGGCTTCTCAGCTCGTCGAATGAGAAGCCGAGAGACTGTGGTTAGACGAGTGGCGCCCTGGAACCCCTTCCGGCTGGCTTCTTTCCTAGTCCAGTCGATCCTGGTTAGAGCAGCCGGGGATGCAGAAGCCTACTTGGACCTCAGTACAATCTCCTCCTATCCATGGTGTGTCTGCATTAGAATGCTTATCACGGCCGATAGCTTCTTAGTTGGGTTGCATCAGGCAACTCCAGGGAGAGACATGTTACGTACATTCGCTGCGTAAAACTGGCTAAAGTCAAAAAACCAGAAGCGAATGATTTACCTTTGTACAGTCCCGTAAATCTCCCATATGCGAGCTTTTGTCTCTTTTAGGCGATAGTAAACTAGCGTCGAGATCAAACGGAACGGTGTTGCCCGCCGGATAATTAACCCCTCCAGAGTCTGAATATTTTCCTCTTGCTACTTTAGAGGAATTCCTCAGCTTGGATTGAAATTCCTGTATCTTTTGCTCCCTCTGTCTCTCTGATATTGGAACTTTAATACCTGGCCGGGTAGGAAGCTGTTCTGATCCCCATTAGCGTCACAAGTTACTGGATGGATGGATGAACTCTCTCGCCTGCATATCATACGCAGCTAGTAGCTACTGCATTCTAATAGCACCTGCACGTACAAGAGAGTCGGCGACCAAGCATAGGGGCCGACCAGCTCTTGCCATCGCCATGACCAACCATCAGATACATACGTAGTGAGAACTCCCTTGCAGTAACCGTGGATATCGGCCATGCCCTCCGAACCTTGACGGGACGGGACGGGCACGATTTGCGGGAACCAATGCTATTCCTTCATTAGGCTTCCACTTCTGGTGCTGTACCGGGCTTATCTGTTGATTCCGCATTCGGCAGAATCGACCGGACTTGTGGTCTGATACCGGTCATCCATTATCATCATTCCACCAGCAGCTGTATGTACGATGGTGTCATCGTTGGGAATGGCGGCACCAGGTCGCATACCAGATTATTGTCCGCTGGGGGGGGAAGTCTACATAACGATCGGTGCAGGAATTCAGGTCAGTGGGCGTGGTTCATGGTGTAGTAGCTGGTCGGGTCGTGACATACCACCTATCGTGTCTGCGGCACTTCGAACCAGGGTTGACAGGCTAATCTCTGCTGGTGGCTTCTTTCGGGCTATCAGGACTCCCCGATTGATTTGATGCTGCAAGGTGATTGGCAATTTACTTTTGACAGCATTCCAGACGCAGCTCAATTGTTTTCCCACTCGCCGGATCATAAGGCTCCCCACATTCCTGGTGGCTTGTATTTCAAATCATCGAGCATGAAAAGTCAAAAGGCAAATGATGGAATGAATGGAATTAAATCCTGTCGCGACGCGCGGGTGCGCATAGAGAAGCGCTTTTTCTGAAGACTGCTCGGGATAATGCGAGAAGAATGAAGCCATTACCCCCAAGTGCAGGAAAAAGGAGAAAACAATAGGAAATTAAACCAGCTCCCGCGCTTGGGACGCCGTCGCATTGCACCAACCCCACCCCATAATTCAAAGTAGAAGCCTATCAGATGGCACAAGCTGGCGCACTCTTTCTCGGGAGGCGACAGGATGCACGGTGTCACGGACCGCCTTCTGTGTCAGCCCCAACCTGGAGACGCTCGGACGCCGAGGTGTCTCTTCTGGAAGCCTGACTGCTTCTTCCTGAGGTTCCCAAGGAGGCGGTTCCATGCTCATCTTCGTACTCGAGGTGGACGTGCGCAAATAAGATGAGAAGGAGGGTCTCGATATGCGAAGGAAGCCGACCTTACTAGCCTGACGATACCGTATCCCGGGCAGGTGCCCGGTGTGTGTCTCTCTCCCCAAGATAATGGTGGATGTATACCTCCTAGATACGAGCGGTATGTATGCCTGGAGCTAAACCTAGTGCGATGGACATCGTATTGTGTTCCATGGTAAAGGCAGTGTTTTGTGCCGCTCGTCGGTCCTATTAGCGTGCAGCGATCTTGAACATGATCATCCAGAAGCCTGGGTAGTAAGTAATAGTAGTAGTGATGAACAGAGGTAACCTGGACAGATATCGAATGTGCTGAACAGAAGGAGATCGTTTCCCTCAATTTCCTTACCACATGGTACGCCACGATCATTCATCCCTTCCCCGATACCCGCCATGAAGCACTCCGGCGGAGAGCCTGGGGAATTAATGATTAAAACTAAATTACCGACAATCTATTTTGAAACAATTAATTCATCCTGAGGAACCCCTCAGTACATCAGCAGTAGACTATGATGTCATCGTTCCTTTTTCAAAATTAAAATTGAAAAAGCAAAACCATGATTTTCCAAATCTCACGCTCCATGGTCATTAGTCCGCCCGTCAGGATGAATGATCTGGTATGCTTGGGGCTTGCCCAGCCTGGCATCTGATACATTCCCGAGTGGGTTCCTAAAATCGAGGGTAAGGAAGTATAGCAGGTTGGCTGCTCCTATAGTAGGCGTCGGGGTTGTAAGTCCGACGGCGATAATGATTGCTGTTTTAGCGCCCTTTTTGGTTTTAATACGATGGAAGTATATGGCGCAACGAGATACTTTGTAAGAAATAGCAACCAACCAGAATCCAACCTGGGATAAGATGAGTGATAATAAACCGGATAACTAACATCTTGCCATGGGGATAACACCCCTCCCCCTCCCAAAGGCTGACCTCGAGTGAGTCATTCTAGTCTCTCTCTTTTTATTTTTCTCTTAATTATTTTATTTAACCTGGCAAAAAAGGGACAGGTGACAAATATAGTAGTACCTGGATGCTCATGGGATTGAGAGGGGAGGTTAACCTCCCCCATCCGGACGGTGCTACCCTCCTTGATGGATGCTTTTCTGACCGTCTCTCCTACACTTACTTTACCCTACTTACAGTACACCCCCCTCCTGCCCACCAACCACACGCCCCCCTTTCTTCTGCTTGTATTGGTCTCATCCCCCTCCATCTTCACATACTTAGCTTCCCACGCCTTAGCTTCATCGCCACCAAGACTTGCCTTTCCCTTCCCTCCTTTTCATTAATTAATAAATTGTATTCATTCTTCTTGTAATTTTGTTTTGCCCGCTATTTTAGTGTTGCTTCCCGTTTCTGATTATTCCTTTTTCTGTTTATAAAAAAACAAATGATATTAATTTAATTCCACACCCTCTACACCAAGCTGAAGAACCGGTTTACGCATGTAATCCCCGTAGATGCTTTGTTAAGCCTCGTCGATTGAGGATCGACGCCCTGCATGACCTTGACCGTGATATATCAAATGAGAGGCTGTGAAGAACGCCGCGAGAGTCTTTTAAAGTCCCCCTCATCCCCTCGTCTCTTCAAGCCTGGGTGTTCTGTTTCTTTTTGATCTTATCTGGAATACTACGACTACTACTACTACTACTACTACCACCGATCATACCATCTACCACCTTGAATCTTGGAATCCCGTCGATAGAAGCTGGGACTTCTTCATTTGATGATTGTTGCGTCGCCCGGCTGCGCCGCATTGACTCTCCCGCGAATTGCCTGTTTACGGTCACCGTCGCTTAAGGGTAGTTCCCAGTAACTTGACAGTACAGTCTCTCAGAGTCGCTGAGCACGAACCCCTCACTGTTGCGACATCTCACACCCAACAGGGCACAAGTAAGTAATCACAGCTAAATACCTTGTCGTTTCCTTTGCCCCGGTCCCCTTCCATACTTTTTTTCGCATATAAGCCCCTCCTGCCGCTGAGATAAGGCGGCTGGCTTCATAAGCGCTTTCATTGTTACTCCCTTCTCTTGTTTGCTTTTTCATTTCTGCCTGGTCTCTGGACGCCTTGAGCCTCACCTCTGTCTACCTCTGTTACTCTTCCTCTTTCTTTCCATCACTTACCTCCGCGGGGCCATCCCTTCTACTATTACACTGTGCGTCTATGACTGTTGCGCCATCAACTGCACTATTTCTGTCACTGCAACCTGAAGGATATGACTAATATTAATACCTCTTGTGCAGGTCTGTGAAGAACATCGCTCATACCTGACCCCAGACACATCTAAACCTAGTAAGTTAGTTTTTCCTACAATTTCGCATATCGTTCTTGATTTCTCGATCATTTTTGCCCTGCATCATGTTCCTTTGAAGCCTGGTCGCACTGGGGATTGAGAATCCCGCTTGGAGAAGATGCAAGCAAGCCTGAACACACTCTACATCCGATGACGGAGGAAGCAAAGCCAAAAAAAAGGAGGGGTATGGGTTACTCCTCATTCCTCCAGGATGTGATATCCGGCAGAGATATTGCCGGGGTTGTCATGCCTTCAACCGAGCTGTGGTCTGGGAAGAGCAACAAGCGACGGTTGCAGCACAGCGCCGTTGGGCTTCAACCCCTGCATGCTCTCTCGGCGGGAGGAGGGTAATACCCACTGATCGCGGGTCGGAGGTCGAACAGTTCGCGGGAAGACAGTGAGCAGGCGCCTATGAGATGCTCCAATTTGCTCCGACATCCCCAAGGGGTTGAGTTACCGCGGGGCAACCTTGGAAGGCTCATTCTTGTCTCACGGACCCCGAGTCGGAGAGCGCTTCCCGGTTGGACTAAAGCGGGGAGGCGGTAATCGGCGAGAAAAGAAAAAGAGGGGAGAGGGGAAGAGGAGAGACATTCTGCATCATCGTCGTGATTATTGTCACACACAGTCACATACGCCATGTTCATGTCTCGCTTAACAACAACCCCAGGGCACGCCTAGGGGAAAGGGGGAACCACGGGGAGACCGAGGGGGTGGGATCGCAGCGGGTGGCAGATTTCCGGGGCAAATCGATGGCATCTCCACACTTTCACACTTTCCACTGCCACGCCCGCATACTGCCACCACTGACCGCTTGCCCCCAGCAGTCCCACCGCCCGGGGAATGCTCAACACGATCGGTTTTGCCTCTCTTTCTCCTCCCTCTTTAGTTGCCCCCCCACGGTGCCTGTTTCACTTTCAGCCCATCAAGTGCATCCATCCATCCACATTCATCTCTCGCCTCCTCCACTCCCTTCCCCTCTTCCCATCCCAGATTCTCCCAGCTTCTGTCGCATATACCCCAGACCCTACTCGCATCATCATCATCATCATCGAAACAGTAATTCTCAAGAAGCGCGCTTTCCACCTCCCCCCCACACACTCAACCTCCCCCGGTGTGCAAGTACAAGGCTCCATCTCATCTCATCTTGTTCGTTCCCGTGGATCTTCCTCACTCTCAACTGTGACCGGCTCCGACTGCTCTTATCGCTTCCCTTTCCCTTTACCCTTTTTGCCCTTTTCCCCTCCCCCATTGTTCCAGCCCATCGCCTCCGCGGCCCCATCTGGCCGCCTTTTCACGCTCTCACTCTCTCTTTCTGTCTCCCCTTTATTTTACCTCGCTTATGGCCACGCAATTCTGTTTCCCTCTTTGACCTCTTTTTCCTACTTTCTATTTTCTTATTTCCCTAGCTGTTACTTTCCCCATTTCCCGGTCGCTTACCACAGACCTCATTGCGCAGTCTGATCTTCCTCTGTGCGGTTCGCAATCAACGAGGCAGCCTATTGGGTTTCGGACTCCGCCCACGATAGTGGCATTTTCCGAGGCGTCCGCTTTCGAATCTTACCTTTCCACCACAACTTCGCCCACCGCGACCAGTCAAATCCGATCGCGAACTACCCCTCGCATTCGCCTTGAACTCATCCCGGGTTCAGCACCAATCGTATCTTTGCCTCATCCAGGAAGCGTCTACCGCGCAGTTTCTTGCTCGTCAAGTACACATTCCCACTCTTCTGGTTGGTAATTCCGTACCTTCCCTGTTTTGTGGTGGTCTGAGCCACCTCCTGTCTCTCTTCTCCCTGAAATTAGATCGTGGCTCATTGTAGTGTCGCCTTCTCCCTCTGTTTGATTGAGCGCTAACGGGCACTTGTCCGATCTGTCAGATTTTCTCCTCGCCACCCTCGCAACTTGCCCGAACTCGTTGATGAGTTTAACTCACCGCTTCTATCACCGGACCTCTTGACTATTTTGCGAAGAGGCTAAACCTTCACACGAGGAGCATTTCTCGCTCCAAATACAGCTTGGGGTTTACTGTGCTCGAACCCCCTAGTCCCACAAGCATCAGCGAGTTCGATCTTGAACTGTAAGACTCCCCTGGAAGACGCAGTCGGCTTTCTGCCTGAGTGCTTGCTTAGGCTTGCTGTAAACTGGCGGAAGCGAGCGTTTTCATCAAGAACAAACCTGACAAACGCAGCAGTGATCAGTATTTCTTCATGATGTCACAGTCGAACTATATGTCCAATCAGTTTGGCAACCCCAACGAGGGGGTTGACCCGTCGGAGCTTAGTATGCAGAACGGTGGATTCATGTCCTACCCATTTACGTCGCAGCAGAACTTCAACTTTGGAAACTCGGGTATTGATACAGATGAGTTGTTGGACCTGGAAATCAACGGACAGAATGGCATGCAGCAGAACTTTCTCCAGGACCAGCATTCGGGTGCCGGAATTTCCATGAGTCATCCGGGGCAGATGTCTCAGATGTACTCCAACACGCCGGATGGAGCTCCCATGAACAGCCCGTTCATGCACAGTTTTAACTATGACCACTTTCGTTCCATGAACCAAAACGGCCAACCCGGCTCTCATCTGCAGAGTGGATCCCAGTTCGAACAGAGTTATCTGGCTTCTAAAGGCCGCCCGAGTTTGCAGGCAGTGGACCGCGCTTCACTCGATGCGCGCAGTCCGATGACTCCGAAGACCCCGGCCCTTGGTGCATTGACCCTGGGAACCCCAGAATCTGGAAGTTTTCCTACGCAGCCCATCCGGACTGGCCTGCAGCATCGCCACCAGAAGACACTGTCTAACCAATGGGACGGTACGCCAGGAAGTGCTCATTCTTTCGTGGAGTCCCCAATCTCCTCCCCCGGCCACCCCCACCACGCGGGAATCTCGGAGATCCTCAAGTCTGGTAAACATGCTTCCTTGCCGGCCAAGGTTGATACGCACATGCCAGGCAGTGCCCAGGACCTAGAATCCCAAGAAGCCAAGCGACGCCGTCGGCGGGCCTCCCATAACCTGGTCGAGCGCCGGCGACGGGACAACATCAACGAGCGCATCCAGGATCTTTCCCACCTCGTTCCCCAGCATCGCTTGGAGGATGACAAAGTCCGGAAGCAGCTTGTCAACAACACAGCAATGTCTGCCACTGGAGCCACCCCCAATGCCGCGACGTCTTTGCTGGCTGGAGGCAATGGTCGCCGGGCCACTGCGGGTAACATTACGATGGGTCTGCCAATTGAGGAGAAAGAGAAGGGCCCGAACAAGGGCGACATCCTGAACGGTGCCGTAGGCTGGATGCGTGACCTAATGTGGGCCCTACATGTTAAGCTCCAGCAGGAATCGGAGCTGGCTGAAATCATCAGCAACTTGGGTGGAACTTGGCCATTCGAGCAGACCGAAGAAGAGAAGCGGATGAGAACGGAGATTCTCGATGCTTTGGAGAAGAACGACCCTAGTTCGTTCACTTACAGCAGGGCACCCGGAAGCGGGCTACGAGTACCGAAACATACGAACATGGCAGGGGACTCTGTGGCTGGCAATGGGGCTTTGAGCCCCCAGAGCCTGAGCCCCCCGTTCAACGGCAACGGCGGTAGCAACGGAGGCTCCGGGCAGGCTCAGTACTGGAGCAGCTCGGGTCATGCGGGCATGAGCTTCAAGGAGGAAGACGAGTATGCGATGGAGATGAACTAGATACATTTCCGCTAACTATCGCTCGAGCTCACATTTCTTCAAACGAACGCATGTCATGAGCTATTGCATACAAGGGCGTCAAACGGACGGGTAGTTGACCGGCGTACACGGAAGCCTTATCATGCCATCGAGGCTAAAGGGCCAGTTGAACTTTCTTTTCGTCAGTTGTTTGATACTTCTCGCGTGTGGTTCTCGCTATACTTGCCTGGGATTGGCTGTCTCGGATTTTTATTGTCTTTATCTTTATTCATTGGTTAATTTCTGGTGGGACTTTACCTGTTGAGTTGAGTGTCTATGTGCTTGTCTTGTGAATTTCCAGCTAGCTATTTTGGGTTGCACGTTTCTTGTTGTTCTTTTGCGCATAATGGTGAGCAAGGTCGGAACACGACATGTCTTGCGTCATTTGGCTTCTTTCCCTTTTACATCGATACCCTTTTCCCATTGTCCCGGTTTCACAGTTTTCGACTTTCCTACTTCATCCTTAATATCCTTTTGGCTATTTTGACCCCATTTCGGATGTCATTTACGGCTGCTATCTATTTTCGATTTAAATTACATAGCATGATTCATTGATACAATGGTGCATTCGGTGCATGCAACTTTACTCAACTCAATGCTCATTTTCCTATGATTTACAATGGAAGTTAGTACAATCATTGGCCCTGCCACAGGCAATAGAAGCCTAAGCATCAGCAGTAGATGGATCACCACGTGTCCTGCACGCTATCGAACAGGCACATGGAGTGTTCTAGACCCTATTCCCTAAGAGTCTAACCAGCAAATGATAGTAGCCCAAGGGTATCTGATGTCTATCGTAGCGCCCGCCATCATGCAGTTCCCCGGGGACGATGATTGCCCGACTACTGTAGGTACCAATCCTGGTGAGACCAGGATGGACCCATTCCATGGGTCCACACATACATACATTAGACAGACAGATCACATGCATTGCTTTTTTTTCCTCATTCCTTATTGCTTATTCTCACGGTGTGCATACAGCTAGCCACTTTTGCATGGTACCTACATGCATAGTACGTGAATAATACGGATCTAGTAGCAATCAATATATGCCAATATCTACAGCACTATCTCAAAAGCAAATATTGCAAAGGAAAGGGGAAAGGAAAAAAAGGGGGAATACTTTCAAATTCAACATGAAACGAACAACAACAAATAGACCCTTCATACCCTCACTCTCTCTTTTTCTCTGTCCGGTCTATTTCTATTCCTATCCCCCTATCTCTAGTAAAGTAGAAATATAGAAACTAAACAAGAAAGAATTCATTCCAAAAACGGGAAGAGGATCTTACTCGCCCCTCATATTCCTAAAGAAGTCCATGACTCCCGTAAACACAACAAGAAGGATACCACCACCAGGACCCAATCTCAGCACCTTGGGCAAGAATCCCTTATACAAAGCAGCGAACCCTTCCTCCTTCATGACGGTACCAACGGCAGGCCAAGCCCAGTTATACTTGGGCACTTGACCGGGAACCTTCGAGGTGTTTTGAATACGGGACTTGACGACGTCCATGGGCGTGTTGAGAATCGTACCGGCCGTACCACCGATCGTACCCGCGATCAAGTCATTGCGTGTCTGCTGGCTCTTGTTGCCCGGCTCGGCGGCAGGGAGCTGCGCGCGCACCTGGAAGATACAGCCGAAGTAACCCGAGTTCCAGAGAATGTGGCGCCACAGGGTGGATTCCAGACCGTTGTACATGGCGAGCGGTCCCTCCGCGGCGACGATCTTCTTCACGACGTCCAGCATGCCGTTGTATTTACCGGCCGAGGCGCGGTCCTGCAGACGGATCTTGACCAGCTCGAAGGGCACGACGACGAACGACTCGGTCGCTCCCGCCGTCGCTCCGGTCAGGATCGCCAGTGACTGTGTTTGCTTCTCGGCGCCGAACAGGTTGCGGTAGAAGGCGCCCCAGCTGTCGTTGGCGGCGAACTTGGTCGCACGCTTGGGCGCTTCCATCAGGATGGGGGCGGAGATACCGCGGTACAGGCGGGAGAAGCTGTTATGGGGTGAGGTGGGTTAGTTTGGTTGTGAGGGGGTGGTTGGGGGGGGGAGGGAGTTGGTTGGCGTACCCCTCGTTCTTGACGATCTTGCGCAGACAGTCGAACATGCCATTGTAGTATTCCTCACCGGCGACCGCGGTACCCTTCTGGAGTTGACTGAGGGTGGGATAGGTTAGTGGGTGATTGCAATTGGGGAGAGATAAGAGAGGTAGAGCTTACACTCGAGTCTTGACCACGTCCAAGGGGTACCTGGGGGGGTGGGGGTTAGTATTGGCTGGTTGGATTGCGTCGATTGAGGGTGGGAAATGCGCACATAACCAGAATCTATGGCAGAGTTAGTCGCGTGCTCCGGTGAAGTGGCAGCGGGATCACACCATACGTACCTCGGACACACCGGCGACGGCACCGGCAATGAATTGGTAGCCGAAGGGCAAGGGCTTCTGGGTGTCGTTGTTCGACATGGTGATGAATTGGCCAAAAGTAGGCGTGCAGACGAAACAACAGACGGGAAAAGACGAGTCGGGAGAGGGGAAGAAAAGAAGAAGAAAGAGGGAAGAAGTGATGGAGAATGAGATTATCGAGGGAGGAGGCCGCAGTCGGAGAGGGTCGGGGACTCACCGGGACGTCGCCCGATCGGGTAAAATGCCGCCCCACGTGCCGCCCCACGGGGCTTTTTGACGCTTACTTATACCTGCCACCGCATTCATCGCTTCGTTAGTTATCACATTGTCATTGTCATTGTCATTATCATTTCGCTATGCATGCTCTCATGATCTACATGTCAAATCATTTCTATCATAACGCCAGGGCCACCATCATGCCCATGCCCATCACCCCCCACTGCTGCCGCAATTGATCACTCCCACTAGTGGCCTGCTCCTTGGCCACGGTCTCCGTCGCCGTTGACACTGCCGTACAGCTGGTCCCGCACTGGTATCCCGACGGACAACAACCTCCCCCGACGGATTGGGCGCAGCTGAACCAGCCAGTCGCGCATCGCCCGGGCGTGCTTGTTGTGGTCGTGGATGCCGTCGTCGTGGCCACAGGGACTACAATTGTTACTCCGTCGCTAGTGAAGGTCGTCGAGGGCGTTGCCGGGCAGGATGTTGTGTCGCAATCGCGGCCGGTTCGGCAGCACCCTCCATTGTAGACGGCAGAGCAGGCGTAGAACCCAGTTGGACAGACCGATGCCGTACTGGTAGTTGTGGTCGTCTTGGAGTTCGTGGAGGTAGATACAGTGGTAGGTCGAGAAGGAGGCACCAGATCGCCCGTGGTTTGTGTCGCAGTGGTTTTAGGGATGGTGTGTGTGGATGTCGATAGCATCACGGTTGAGCTTACTGTGACCGTGATTGTGAAGACACGCATACCTGAGCCGTTAGCCTCAATAGCGACACAAAGTAGGGAAATCTTCAGCTGATGCAGGCTACTTACATCCCCCGGTGACACATTCGTACCCTGGGATACAGCACCCACCACCCAGAGATGACGAACAGCTAGAGTATCCGTCCTGGCACGATCCAATTGTTCCCGAGCACGTCTCTCCCTTTGGACAACAGCCTACGTCACCAGATCCTGTGTCGTTGACCAGAACGCACGTGTCGCTTGTACTGCAGCAGCTTTCGGGCCGATCTATCGAGGAGCATCCGTAGGTGCCGGAAGGACATTTGAATTCTCGCCGAAGAAGCGGTGAGAAGTGCTCACTCCACCCACGCCTTTCGACTTCGAGGTCGCTCGGGTAGGAGGGTCGAAAGGGATATGAGCGAGGTTGAAAGTCGACCTTCTCGATTGTGTCAAGATTGTAAGGTTGTACTTGCGACAAAGAATCGTTGGTGTTTGATGTGTTGCCTGCTGTATAGGCTTCGTCGAAGAGCCAGTAGTCGAGGAAGAATTTCTCGCCTTCATCGTCGGTCATCTTATGGACTCCGCGAACAGGCTTCTGGGATAGGTATGACTCGATAAGAGCATTGTGTTGAACGATCGAATCCGTATCCTGGGAGCCATTGGGAATAGACACATTGCTTGCGAAGGCTTGTCCTGCGATTGATGGGCCGAGGATGCAGGCCAGCAAAGGTATTGACAACATGAGATCGTAGTTACTAGGACTGAGTCATAGTCAGCACACGAAACATTTCCAGGAATGAAGTCGCACATACACAAGTAGTATATAAATACTATCGTCTCCCGAAAGGACGTTATCGGAAGGACTCCGTGATAAGTCGACCGACAAGGTGACAAAATATAAACGACCGGGATCAACTGCAGATCATACCGGCACTAAATACACGAAGCACTAAGCATGAAACTAACAGTCGGGGGGCAACCGACTCTCTCCTCTCTGCCCAAAGACAGTGTGGCTGGGAAAGAGTGGGAACAACAATTAACAAGGCGACGGGGGGGCCTCCACCGGTCTCGATCGGGAAATAATGCCAATAAGGTGACAATAAATGGATACCTGATTGTGCCGGCAGTATTCTACATTCACCGCTTTGCGTCATGGCGGTGGGCCCTCCGTTCCATGGGAATCAAGAAAGTGGAGAGAGAGTCTCAGCTCTATTCCATCTTGACAGCTGCCCGTCCACGGCTCAGCTTATCATTGGATGATGGAGAAATGTTGACTGTTGGAAATTGGAGAATGCAACTGTTGGCCGAACTAACTATAGAAAGGAGTGAGGAGGGCTGAGAAGGTGCGCGGGTAATGGCGAGCAATATAGATCCAACATAACCCATGTTACTCCCTGCACAGCGCCATCTACTGGCGTCCCGATTAGTGGGAGGGCGCTTGCTGCTCACAATGGCAGGGATTGCTACCCCCCATCTCATCCCAGCAATGGTTCTTTTAACGCGGCCTGTCCCCCTCGACTTTTTTCTCTCATTTCATCTTCTCTCTCATCATCTCTCTCATTCTCAATCATGGAAGATTCATCGTTTGAATACCCCAGCGACATTCTCTACACCCAGGAGCCTCTCTCGGGATACAAGTTTGGCGGATATCATCCCGTCCGTATCGGTGATACTTTCAAAGATAACCGCTACACTATACATCACAAACTCACGTGGGGAGGTTTCTCCACCGTCTGGCTTGCCCATGACAATCTGTGCGTCACAAATACCCATCTGTCCCATGCCACATGAATTATCACTGATAATCTCAAAAGGCGACACCGATGGGTCTCCTTGAAGATCAAAACCGCGGACACTTCGTACAGTTCTCAGGAACTCCAAAACCTCCAGCAGCTGGAGAAGATTGCCGCTCCGGACGATCTCTCGTCCAAGTACATTCTCCACCTGCTGGACGCTTTCATCCAGCCCGGCCCCAACGGCATCCATCAATGCCTGGTGTTCGAGCTGATTGGTCCTACCATCGATCGCATCATCACTGACTACCGTGAGCTTTCGGATTCTCTTGATCCACAGACCATTCTCCGCTTGTCGAGACAGCTCCTCAAGGCTATCGAATTGGTCCATAATGCGGGTGTGGGACAAATAGGTAAGCTCCTACTTCTAATCAAGCTTTGAGTATTTCCTTTATTAAGTCGAACCAGACATCAGCGGCAGAAACATCGTCTTCAGCGGTAGGAATCTGTCCTATGCATCGGAGAAGATCATCTTTGCGGTCTTTGGCTCGCCCGAGCATGAACCAGTGACCCACCTCGATGGCACTCCGCTGCACAAAGGCTTCCCAGCGGCTCTGTTTGGACCGGTGAGTTGGGAGGACTGGCTAGAGGAGTTTGCTGAGGAGCTCCGCATCTTCGACCTCGGAGAGGGCTTTGCACAGGAAGAGAAGTCGAGGATACTCGCGCAACCGGGACCTTCGCGGGCTCCGGAGTTGATTTTCGCGGGGAGGTCTGACTACAGGACTGACTTGTGGCATACGGGCTGCATGGTATGTGAATCTCAAGACAGAGACCCCAAAAATGAATACTGACCAATCGCAGCTGTTCTTCTTTGTGTTCGGGACATACCCCTTTGACTCCGATGTAGAAGATATGGTAGTGGTTGAGCAGATGATCGACCTTCTGGGGGAGTTACCCCAGGAATGGCAACCTACCTGGGACCGTATGCGAGCGGAAGCTGGAGATATGATGGATTTCCAAGGTGAGATATCACAACCAGTGCTTATTAATGCACCTGTTCATCAGCAAGCTGATCTCCAAATACTAGGTGACGAGGTCTTCACTCTGGAGGACCGCTTCGATAAGGAAGTAGCCGAGCCAGAGCTTGCTCCTCTGATCCCGATCATCCGAGCATTGCTGGAGTTTCGGCCTTCGGAGCGCATTACAGCTCCGCAAGCCCTTGGTCTTTTGGGAACTCAGGGACAGTGAACGAGGTCATGAATTTGAGCTAGCTAGTCAATTTAGCATTTGCTGCAGAGAAGAGAATATATATATATACGTTTTTGTAGTTTATACAGCGATTAGTAGTAAGAAAATATGACCAAGAATTGCTAATAGCACCCATCTGCAGTACCAACCATCACGCTTAGAGTTAGGTGGCTCTCTCAGCAAGATGAACTTTCACCACCGTCCCATCAATAGGCTTCGCGGTGACCTGCATAGTCTAGAAAATCAAAAAGTAAGCCACCCTTCTACCAACTCGGGGAAAAAAGAAACCAACAAAAGAAACAAAACTTACATTAAACAATTCCGTCTCCACCTCATACTGCCCCTTAGCAGCATCCAAGATAGGCGCCCCAGTCGCATCCCGCGCAAGTGCTCCCACGCCCACCTTCTCGAAATCGAAGCGCCGAACCGTACACGCCAGGATTACCCGGGCCTCCAGGTTGGCTAGCTCTTGACCAATACAGTTGCGCGGGCCGCGCTCGAACGGTCTCCACGCGCTGGCGGGAACATGGGCGCTTGCGACCGAACCATCCCCATCCCCCTGATTCTCCGCGCCATCCGGGATCAGTCCTAGACCGGTATCGGTGTTTCCCAGCCACCGCTCGGGGATGAATTCATCTTTTGTCGGTCCGTACACTTTCTCCTCACGATGGACGAGTGTCGCGTTGAGATAGATGACCACTCCGTCTAGGCAGAGCGTCTTCCCGTCTGGTAATTGCACGTTGAAGCCTGAGCCTGGGGGCATGTATCTCGCTGATCCGGATGGAGGGTACAGTCGCAGAATTTCCTTGATCACAGCAGAGGTATAGGACATCCGCTGTAGGAGTTCTTCTCCGCCTGGGGCTAGGAGCTTCTCTTGCACGGCTGCGGGGGACGGGTCTGGGCCGAAGAGGTCGTCTAGTTCGCGGCGAACTTTATCCAGCACGCGTGGGGTGCGACTGAGGATATAGAAGGTCCACTGCAATACGACACTGGTGGTATCGTGACCGGCGAAAAGGAAGCTTTTGAGCTGGTCGCATGTTTCCTGAATGACAAGGGGATTAAGTTGGTCGATGTCCTGTAGGCTTAGAGAGAGAACACTCCGGGAGCGCTTCTCCGTCGATTTGGACTTGAGCTCAGCAAACTTCGTTTTGATGTGTTCAGCTATCAGGTGATCGATGCGTCGGGATAGAGTTCGACGCCTCCAGTTCATGCGGGGGTCCAGCCAGTCCCATTGCACACTGCTGCCTCTACGGTATGTGGTCGTTAGCTCACGGTAGAGACGGACGAGTTCATCCTGCTTGCTGCGGTCTAGCTGGGCATGGAAGTCTTTGTCCATTGTTACTGCGCCTGGGGGCTTGTTAGAACAAAAAGCGAGCCACTTAAAGTGGATGTGTGGCCTACCGATAATATCAAAGGTAAGGCTGACGCATCGCTCGTCGAGGGATAATTCCTCTCCACTACGAGCGTACCCGTCAAGAATATCAGTGAACTGTATCGCCTTGTCCAGGATACATGGCAGCAAAGTAACGAGGTGCTGAGGCGCAAATCCCGGGTTGAACCGCTTGCGTAGACCCTTCCAGTGCTCTCCCTAGTGACATAGGTTATCTTAAAAAATTTTATACAAATTCAGAATACGAGTTAAGGCCTACCTGCTGCGTGATGATGGAATACGGTCCCAACAAAGGCTCCAGCGCGCCCATCGTGGGTGACTTCTTCATACTGTACGGAAAGCTCTTGGAGCTCCGGGCAATTTGTTCTGCGACCTCATGACTCCCAACCACACAGAGTCGAAACTCTACAGGCCGGAGATCGTAGAGAACGAGAGGGGGATTCCCCAGATGTTCCTGGATCTCTTGAAATACGATGTCTGATTGAAAGCGTTTGTAATTGTCAACGATACCCATCCTATTCATGAGGACGACGAGGGCTTTGATTTTTTCATACCGATATGCCTTCTCTCCTCACCTCGGGCAATAAACTCGTGGAGCGCTTTCATGTGGCCCCAGATGAGGGAGGGAGGGAGTTGCGGCCAGTCGGCATACTTCTGGAAGCGGGAGTAGCGGATCCGTTTGATGAAGTAAGAAACCACCAGAGGCAGGAGGATCAGAAGGATAGTTTGGACGAACATGATGGTTGTTTCATGCTAGCCCAGTGACAGGAATAGTTTCAGGCTGTCTAGATCGACATGAGGTGAACTGGGAGTGAGATGGGAAATAAATGGGTTCGGGAACGAGAATTTTTCTTGCTTCTGTAAGAAAGTTCCACTTGCCCATGGGGTTTGTTTGTCCCGTGCCCGAGTTTAGTTGGTGGATGAACAACAACTCCGATAAGCTTATCGCTTCTAACTAGTTCCTACTAGTAGTGTTCCACCATTACTACACTGGATTACAACCTGGCTTAATACAAAGCATTTAATTGGGCTTATGTGAGTAACCTCGAAAGTATATTGGTTCGACTTTTATTGGCACCTGCGGTGGCACCAAATAGTATTATTAGAGGTTCGCTTGATTCCGCTCAGTTACATCGGGATTTGAATCTTGCATGAGGCCGCTGCAAGCGCCCGCCACGTGGTTGTCTTCAATTGACTGGGAAAAAGAGCAACATCGGTAAGATGCATTCGGCATAATCTGGCATATCATCATAATGGGCAGAAAAAGGTTCATGCAAGTGGATGGACTGAAAGATGCAGGAGTGTGTAACCACTCAGATACAACATTCTCTCACTTTCCGGCCCAAGACCTGTAATACTAATGTAACTACTTGGCTTTGGGCCTACTAGGCAGATATCTCATTCATAATCTACATTGTCATCGTGACAGAATATCGACATCATAAAGTGACAACCTGATGGCTCCATTGAAAGAGGTGGACTTGGGTTGTGGCATACGACGATAATGATTGCGTAGTAGGATCATATAGTCCACAATACGGTCCTTAGCCAAAGTATAGGATATCGAAGGACTCCCAAAGGCCATCTCCAAGCTGAAACTAGGGCACTTTTCAGATTCCTTGATAAGACGCGTTAGCGCTATACAACGAAGTGGCCCAGTTACGTACCAACATCCAAAGGTCACCCAGAAACATGGGGGCAGACATACCCAGCATTGAATAATGATTGGCAAAGCAAGATATAGAAGGACTTTCCATCAAACAGCAACAGCAAACCCGCCGGTATTTGATCCGAAGGCTTCGAGAAACAAAACCTTGTGGGAAACTTTATTCATAGGTTATTGTATCGTGTTCCCAATTGAGCCAACCTGACCCGAAGGTCACCCGTTTTTCTTGTATTTAGAATGTATAGTGCCTCTAGTGTTTATATTACCCCCAACAGTACCACCGACGTTACTATGGAATCATTATCGGGAAATGATTTGCAATGTATCATCATGTCTCATGCTGACCATGACACAAAGTAAAATTACAACTGTTCGTCTCAAACAAAAGAGACGATACCAGTGCTTCTTGCCGACGCACCCCAGCCCTTGAAGTAACACTTTGCAGTCATGAGGATTTACCATGGATTTTCACTGATAATCAGGAATAATTTAATCTTCGATATTATCTACTCAGACCAGAATGAACCCCGGTAAGGTCAAGTGCGGATTGCAGCAGAGCAGCCATACTATGTCTGCAGACGGACAGGATGTATTTACCGGACTTTCATTGCATATGAGTAGGAAAGCGAAACCTTCTAGATATGTCTTCACATTGAAGATCGAACGACAATCACCTACCATCACAGACGTTCCAACGTCTCCAACTCTCAATCTGCCAACTGCCCCTTTCCAAATTATGAACTTACCACCGAAGGTAAGGATGTGTGAGATATCCGTCTCTGTGGACTAACGTGAAATCGAAAGAAGCAAGTCAAATCCTTCCCGGAGTCGCTCTCTATCCTGCCGCCCGAGTTCTCCATTGCCTGCATTCTCGATCAAACGAGTTGCCTTTTCCAGTTTCGCCGGAAATACCTTTGCAACCAGTGCCTGCACAATTTCCCTTCGAGCCGCGGGATTGTCGATTGCAAGCAGGATCGAAGCGAAGATATGTGTTTTATTCACAAATCTCGCATCGCCGACCTCATTGAGAAGTCCCTGCATCTTGCGATTATATAGCAGCCGGTACCATCTCAACCGCTCTGCCGAATCCTCTTGAGTATCCAGAGACTTTCCATGCTCTACTGGGTCCATATCCCTCATGATCCATTTAGGGAATGTAGCATAGCCCAGGAACCGTGGCATGGTCTGCACCTCATCCCAGTCAATGATTCCACTCACATTACACTGTTCATCGACACGGATGTTCGTGGAGTCAAACTGCGGCACTGCAAGCACGAATGTCTCATCCTTTTCGTCTTTCTGGCTTGTCGACAACGGCATACATCCGATCATCATTTCCAGCATTATAAGACAGCCAACGTCAAATGGGCCTTCTTCTTCTTTGCCGCTGGGTGATCTCAAAAGGCGCTCACGCAGAAAGTCCACAGTGGACTCGTAAGGACCATACTCCGCATACTGTACATCATTTCCTGATCCCTTCCGCGAGTGGTAGCATGGAAGCACCCGAAGATCGCCATGGACATCCGGTCCCAACGTACCAATTCCGTCAAAGCAATACCTGTGCAGCTTTGCCATAGTCTCTGCGACACTGTCCAGTATGCGCAGTCGCTTTTGGTCCAATGACATTGCCCCTGAGTCGTCGAACCAGGCATCCGAGACCAATGTTCCTGGGACAAAACTCTCAACAATGTACGGTGTCTCCAAGACATTTTCTGATGAGACATCGAAGTCGTACACTTCTGGCATGGGGAAATGGGCTCGCTTTTGGATAAATTGCATCATTTCCACCTTCGCAATCAAGGCACTTTTGGCAGTCTCGGTGCAGTGCCCTGGACGGCAGCTGATGGGTAGGCGGATGATGTAACGCACCTGGTCGTCAAATTCGACCACATGAATAACATTACGGCTGCCTTGATGACAAAAGAGCACACTTGCAGTTGTGAATGTGTCTATAGTTTGCTTTCGACGGACCTCAACGGCGAGAGTATTGAGCGCATCACGGTTAATTGTGACAAGGTCATTGAATTGCTCTTTCGCCGGCGCTGGATGTGGCATTTTGGTGCCTGTGCCACTTGTATCACGTATTGGGAACGCCATGGTGGTTTTCTCGATGGGGATTAAGAGGACGAGTCAGAACGAACCCAAAATATGAGGTAGGTTTTGGAGACGTGGAGCCGAGCGTAGAGAAAACTAACCCTTTGACCGTAAGTAAAAGATGAAAACCATTCACGAGGCCTTTACGATGCACAGCGAATGCCTTCCTCATATTCACTGAACTGCTTATCACAAAATAACATATGAACAACTACGCATAATGGAGTAAGCAAGGCTCTGTCTCTACCAGCAAAAAGGCTCCACACAAGCTAATTTCACTATGCCTGACATTCAATTAACTATACCCCACTTGTCTGAACCAAGATATAGTCAATATACAGGCAGATCCAACTTATTTCTCGATACTATCTAGGTGGTCTCTCGAGAGAGCAATAGAGAGCGAGTTATTTATCAAGAATACCATCCTTGCGATGACTTAATTGGTGATATCTAGCAGAGGCTTCACCTGCTTGTGTCCACATACCCCCAATGATCTGAATCAACTATCCTGCCTTTTGCAGGAGAAGCAACTAAAGTGATTCGGCATGTAAAAAGTCAAAATTGTTCAATTAGCATCACATGATCGCCGGTTACGCCCCCCAATGTCTCATCCCTGCTTGTTCATACACTTCGCCTCGCAAGTCTTGCTATGGAGCTGCAGGGCTATCACCTCAACGAGTATCAATGACTATAAAGCTGCTTCAGCAGTGGCACTGAAGCTGTGAACACTTCCCCGTGCTTCGAATACTACCCGATTCTCCTCCAAACTGTTACCACTACAGATGGGTATGGTATTCTCATCTGATGGTGTTCCCCAACCACCTCCACCGGGACTAGAATTCATGTCAGCCAAGTGTAAAAAGATAAAAAAGGGCTGAAGCTTCTCTACTCACGTGTGAATAATAATACGCTCCCCAGGCTGCACTTTGAGCTCCATCTTCCCCCCAATGTTGATCGTTCGCTCAGTCCCATCCAGCTCTTTCTTCACGTACAGGTTCAATCCCGCCTGGCCAGCCTCACCACCAGCCAGCCCATATGGCCGATAGACGCGACGTTCGCTCAGCATAGAGGCCGACAGGGGAATGCGGAACTCCAGTTCCCGAATCACACCGTCTCCACCGCGGTAAAGTCCCCTGCCACCAGACCCCTTGCGGATAGAGAATTGTCGCAATATGACCGGATATCGCAGCTCGTACACTTCTGCGTCGGTGATCCGAGTGTTGGTCATATGAACATGGACACCAGATGTACCATGCCAGGTTGGACCAGCACCAGAACCACCACATATGGTCTCGCCGACGCCGAAGCCAGGGATGTCGTTACCATTTTCGTCTAGTCCACCCATACCAAATGAGATGATATTGCAGCATCCTTGCGAGGCTGCACAGGCTTGGAAGGCTCCTAGGACGACGTCGGTGATGCGCTGCGATGTGATAGGATTACCGGCGCAGACGGCCGCATACCCAGATGGATTGATAAGCGTGCCAGAAGGAACGATAAAGTTGATCGGCGCCAAACAGCCTTGGTTTAATGGAATGTCAACATCGATAAGGGCGCGCAGGCTATAAATAATTGCCGAGTGGGCGATTGCTTTGGGGGCATTCAGGCAGTTGAACGTCTCTCGCCCGGTGCCAGTGAAGTCAAACTCGGCAGATCCGGTCTCTGCGTCGATGCGGATCTCTAATCTAATCTCTGTACCATCATCCATGAAGTCAGAAAAGCGGAGGGGCTGTCCGGCGGCCTTTCTGCCAATTGTCTTAAGCAACTCTCGTACTGCGGTTTCGGCATTCTTTTTTATGGCGTCCATGTAGAAATGGACTACATCAAGCGTGTTTTCTTGAACGAGACCTTCCAGTAACTGTGCACCCTTCTGGTTGGCTGCAATAGCCGCTTTCAGGTCGGAGACATTGTCTTTGTAAGTGCGAGTGCCACTGCAACCTGGATACGAGGCTGGCTCGTCATATAAGAACTTCCGCACCATGTCTTCGTCAAAATGGCCTTGTGATACCACCTTGAATCCCATGGTCATGGCACCTTCCTCATATAACATTTTACTGTCTGAGGGCATAGAACCTGGCGCAATTCCTCCAATTTCGGCTACAATTATAGTTAGCCATGACTATCCCATCAACAAGTGGTGTTGCTTACCATGGTGGCCTCGAGAGGCAACATAGAAGATGATCTTGCTTCCTTGCTGATCCCAGACAGGAGTAATGATAGTTATGTCCGGAAGATGCGTTCCGCCAGCAAGTGGATGATTGGTGAGAATGTGGTCTCCTGGCTTCAGATTTCCGCCATACTGTTCATGCTGATACCGCACAGCATACTCCATACCTGAAATGGCCCAAGTCAGCAGTCGTTGAGAAGTATAGGAAAGCAGCACTTACTGCCGAGGTGGACAGGAACATTAGGTGCGTTCGCCACAAGTTTACCGTCAGGTGAAAACACTGCACAGGAAAAGTCCAACCGCTCTTTAATGTTTGTCGAGACGGATGTCTTCTGGAACATCCGGCTCATCTGGTCGGCAACTGACATGAATCGATGACCAAAAATCGAAAGCTTGATTGGGTCGACCACTGTCGCGTTGTCGACTTGGTTCTTGACCGACTGAACATTCAGGATCACATGGCGAGATAAGATAGTGGCCGATGCATGCGGTTCAACGACAATGGTTTGTGTCTTGTCGATGATCATGGCTGGTCCTTGGATGAAGCTGCCCGGCTTCAGGTGCTCTAAGAAGAAGACTGGCGTGATGACACGCCCGACGCCTGCAAAATACACCTCCGTGGAATCGTCCCGACTTTCTTCTCCGATGATAAATGTCGCAATAGATCGCAACTCGGGCTGCGGCGCCTCTGGGGGGACAGAAATGGCCTTGCCTACTCCACGTACACGTATATCTTCGACTAGAATATTGCGACCTGGGAAGGTGAAGGAGAGTTCGCGCTGATGCTCTTGAATGAACGCTGCCCCAAAATCTCCGCCATCCGGTCTGAGGACCATCAGTGTATTATCGGTTCCTTGGTAGCGGAGATTAAGGTACACCTCATAATGTATGCGAGTCTCCTCAATACCGTCTGCGGTCAAGGCTTCGGTGACCTTTGCCTTGAGAGCCTCAATACGTCCATTAATTATTTCCATTGCACTCGCGGTAAGAGCTCCGGACGCAGGCTCCTGGGCCTCATGCACCACATCAGCAAGAGCCATACCGTATGCGGAGAGAATCGACGAATAACGGTGGACTATGACGGTCTTTATGGACAGTGACGATGCAATTGCGCATGCATGTTGTCCACCTGCTCCTCCAAAACAGGCCAGGTTATGTGCTGAAGTGTCATATCCTCGTGCCTCGGTCAATGCCCGGATGGGCTTTGCCATAGATTCGTTTGCAACTTGAATAAATCCCAGCGCAATTTCCTCTGGTGTCTTCCGATGACCTGTCTCTGCATTGATTTTATCTGCCAGTTCCGTGAACTTCTGACGAGCGACCTCGACGTCAAGGGGCTCGTTCTCGTTGGGCCCAAAGATCTTGGGGAAATAGTCCGGGAGCAGGCGGCCCAGGAACAAATTTGCATCAGTCACAGTCAATGGACCTCCTTTACGGTAGCAAGCTGGCCCTGGATGTGCGCCTGCAGATTCTGGTCCGACTACGAAGAGCCCGTGCCGCCAGAACAGAATGCTGCCGCCACCAGCCGCTACTGTATTGATGTCTAGCTGTGGAGCCATCACTGTCACTCCTGAGATGGTGTTCTCGAAGGTATGTTCTAGCTTGCCGTCATACCGTGAGACATCAGTACTTGTGCCGCCCATGTCAAACCTAGCTATTCGGTCAGCGAGTATCCTCCTTAATCTGTCGCCTGAGAGAGGACATACCCAATAACGGGTTTTCGGTCTTCTGGGTCAAACGAGGTGCCTGCGTAGCCTACAACACCACCTGCGGGCCCCGACAAAATAGCACGCAAACCGGAGAACCTAAGCACGGTGAGCTTAACTCGGGCTATATAGTTGGGAAGAAGGTAATACTTTTGAAAGTTTACCAGACCACCGTCGCTCTGCATGAATTCGCAGCGCGTGTCTGACGATTGTAGCCCATCCTGGAAGCCGGACCGGAAACCTTGGATATATCGTTGGATCACCGGCGTCAAGTAGGCGTCTGCTGTAGCTGAAGCGCCTCGAGAGGTCATTTTTATCATAGGAAGCAGCTGGCTAGAGAGCGAGATCTGCGTGAATCCGATCTCGTTGGCAATCCTCTCGATAGTCAACTCATGCTCTTGGAATGTATATGAGTGTACGAGACAGACTGCAATGGAGCGATATCCATTATCAAAAAGCTTTTGCAAACTCTGTCTCGTCTTCGCCTCGTCGAGAGGCTCTAAGACGCGGATGACCTCTCCACTGACGCCCTTCTTCAGGTAAGGGTCTGTCTCCAATGCCGCTTCAAGGCGTTCTTTATCTGGGACAGGATTCTGTTGATAGCCCTCTATAGTTACTCGCTCATCGATCTCGACCACATCTTCATAAAGCACTTCGGGTCGCTGGATGTTCAACGCAAAGAGCTTAGGACGCGACTGAGTCCCGATGCGAAGTGCATCCTTGAAACCCTTTGTGATCAGAAGCGCCACTCTTTCTCCTTTTCTCTCTAGCAAGGCATTCGTGGCTACCGTCGTTCCCATACGGATACTGACGCTGCCAAAATCCGATGTGGTGAGTTTCTGGTCGCGGGGAAAGCATTTTCCTGTTGCTTGTTCGAGAATCCGGCGGATGCCTTCAATTGGGGCGTCTGCGTAGTTAGCTGGATCTTGCGAAAGCAGCTTGACGACAATGTCTTCCTTGCGGCCTTCTACAATCCCCAGGCAATCGGTGAACGTGCCACCACGGTCTACAAATGTCAGCTTTGCGGTCGCCCAACTCGGGCAGCGTAACTCACCAATGGCAATTTTGATATTGAGTTTCGATGAAGACATGATTATTGATTGACTATCACCAAAAGACATGCACTGAACTGTTTCTCCCAATGGCCGGCGTGGCCTTTATAGAGTGGGCTCCGGCATTCATCTCCAACAGCGCTCGCCCCATTGCCGGCGCTATCTTATCGTGCCCTATCATGGGACCTTAACGGTACTTTGTTATCGGCCTCGCTCCGACCTTCCCCTCGCCTTAGCCTTTCGGGGCATGGAGTTCTGATAACAAATGCCGACGTCGTTATCAGGTGCATCTATACGATGCTATAAAACTGACACTCGACGACATGGTCGGGGTGCTTCTCCCACCTCATCAATGCAGATGCTACACTGGTCGTCATGACTACCGACCAGAAGAAACCTGGCCTCGACAGCAGCGCCTCCGATGGGGAGAAGATTAAGCATGGCCAGATGGACATCCTCGACCATCGGTCGGGGCAAGATGAAGATGTTGCAGTGCAGTTTCTCGCCCAGCTTGATCCCGTCATCATGGCGGAACCCATCTCCGACGCAGAGGCGCGACGCGTGCTGTGGAAGATTGATTTGATATTGATCCCATTAATCATGGTCACTTGCGTGCTCGCTGCAGTCGACAAGGTCATCATCTCTAATGCCGCTATCTACGGTATGGAAACTGATACCCATCTCACCGGCAACCAATATTCCTGGGTGGGCTCGATATTCTACTTTGGCTACCTGCTCTTCGAGTACCCTGCTGCGCTACTCATCCAGCGGCTCCCCGTAGCCAAACTCTACGTGGGAATGGTCTTCGCTTGGGCAGTCATGATGCTGTGCACGGCCGCTACGCAGAACTTTGCAGGTCTGGCGACAGTGCGCTTCCTCATGGGCATGCTCGAGGCATCGGTGTTTCCCATCTCCAGCATTCTGACAGTAATGTGGTGGAAGACGAGTGAACAACCTCTCCGGGTAGCCTTCTGGTTCAACCAACTGTCGTCGGTCTTCTCTGGAGTCGTCAGCTACGGCATCGGACACACCCACACAGCACTACACCCCTGGCGACTACTCTTCCTTGTCCTCGGCGCATTCTCCATCCTCTGGTCAGGTGTCCTATACATCTTCCTCCCAGACTCCCCAGTCCAATGCTGGTACTTCTCCGACCGCGAAAAGTTCGTCTGCCTCGAGCGCGTCAAAGACAACAACACAGGCATGGAAGATAAAACCATCAAATGGTACCAAGTGCGTGAATGTCTCCTCGACCCAAAGACATGGCTCCTAGCTCTGTTCTCGCTCGCCCAGAACATCCCCAACGGCGGCCTCGTCACCTTTTCCGCCCTCATCGTCACCGGACTCGGCTATTCCTCCCTGATCACCACCGTCCTAGGCATCCCCACCGGTGTCCTCGCCACCGTATGGCAGATCCTGCTCTCGTTACTCACCTCCCGTGTCCCCAATTCCCGCTGTTTCATCATCGCCGTCTCGAACCTAGTTCCAATGGCCTGTGCCATCCTCATGTGGAAACTGCCCCGCTCCGACAAGCACGGCCTCCTCGCCTCCTACTACGTCTTTTACACCTACTGGGCACCCTACGTGCTATCCACTTCGCTCCCTATGGCCAACACCAGCGGTCACTCGAAGAAACTGACTCTAAATGCTATCTTCTTTATCGCATACTGCGTGGGGAATATGATCGGTCCGCAGGTCTTTCGCTCCACGGATGCCCCGAGTTACTCGCACGGATACGAGGGCCTGCTGGCTTGTCTGGTTGTTGCTATCGTCGCGATCTCAGCCTACGGGGTACTCTGTAGATGGGAGAATCAGCGACGGGATCGTGAACAGCAGCAGCAGGAGGAGCAGCAGTCTGTGACTGTCTCAGAGGATGCGGCATTTTCGGATCTAACGGATAAAGAGAAGAGATCGTTCCGATATACATATTAGTGTAGTGTAGATTTTGAACCAGTATTCACATTGTGAAGAAATAATACTATTACTAGTAATTGAAAACATTAGAACATCGCTACACCCTCATTCGTGATCACTGATCTTGCTCGCAGTACGTACTTACATCAATCACTGGATAAACGTACAGGGTACCTACAATATACCAACCACTTCGTAATGACCCCAAATCCGCTTACTCCAAATGACCACTTTCTCCGCTTTACACACTACTAATAGTACTACCCAGTAGTAGTATGATCAACCCATCCAATGACCACCTCGATATCAACGAGCGGGGTAAACCCCGAGACACAACGAATCATGTGGCCCAAACACCTAACCGATAAGAATACATTAGTACGACTACATAGATATCATAGGTAGCATAGCAGTAGTACTAATACATACGCCGGTTCCATACCCAACCTATAAGAACAAACCATGAATCCAAAGTGGGGAATCAGTAGCGGGATGGATCCTTGCAGATGATAAGTAAGTTAGGTATGATTAAACGGGCGGGAGGAAGGTGGGAGGGAAGGTCGGAACGAGGCCCGGTTTGGTCTGCTGGGCTCTTACTTTCATTCTTCTGTTCTCTTTTGGGTGGGGGGATTGATTATCTTGCTATCTGCTGGGAGGAGCTTTATCGTGATAAGGGATTGCGCTACTAGTATCCTCCCGGGGGGTGAAATGATGGTTGAGGGGAAGGCAGGCAGGTCGGTGCGATGTGGATACTAATTACTCTCCGAGTGGTTGGCAATTGAGGGGTTCTGGATACTATTCCGAGGGTCTCTGGATTACTGTATTTGGTTGGTTGGTAGCTTTGCTCGATATTCATAGCGAGATAAATACTTTAGTTGAGTAGTGAAGGTTTGTACCAGAACCATTCTAATATTTGGCTATCCTACCATGGACAGGAATACAAAGATCCTCATTGTCGGAGCTGGCTGCTTCGGCACCTCAACCGCTTATCATCTCGCTCAGCGCGGTTTCACGTCCATTCGTGTGCTCGATCGATATCCCGCGCCATCCTGCGAGGCCGCCTCAACCGATATCAGCAAGATTATTCGCAGCGACTATAACGAGCCGCTGTATGCTCGTTTGGGAATTGAGGCGATTGCCGCCTGGAAGTCCTCGGATTTGTTTCGTGAGCTGTACCATGTCCCTGGCTGGGTTCTGAGCGCATATAAGCTGTCGTGCGCGTTTGTGGAAGGGTCGATTGAGACGTGCACCAAGCTCGGAGTTGAAGGATTGGAACGCCTGTCGACGCAGCAGATCCGTGAGCGGTTCCCCCTTGTGACGGGCGAATTGGATGGGTGGAATATCAACGTCTGGAATCCGACGGCTGGCTGGGCGGCGGCCGGGGAAGCCTTGCGGCGCATGGCCGTCGCAGCGCAGGAGCAAGGGGTGGATTATATCTCGGGTGAAGAGGGCTGGGTCAAGAGGTTGTTGTTCGATGAGGAGAAGCGTTGCACGGGAGTGATCACGGCTGACGGATCCACGCATGTTGCTGACTTGGTCGTGGTGGCTGCCGGAGCTTGGACGCCAACATTGCTGGACGTGGCGGGCCAGTTGACGGCCAAAGGCCACAGCGTGGCGCATATACAACTCTCCCCGGAGGAGACAGCTCATTATTCCGCACTGCCTATTATGGATAATCTGGAGCTGGGCTACTTTTTTCCGCCGCAGGCAGACGGGGTGTTCAAGATGGCGCACAGCCAGTTCATCACGAACATGCAGACGGATACACGGTCCGGAAACAAGTCATCTGTTCCTCACACCTTTGTGGACAATCCACAAGATGATCTCCCGCTGGAGATTGAAGCTCAGATGCGCCGGAACCTTCGTCGTGTCCTACCGGAACTCGCCGACCGTCCATTCTGTTATACCCGTCTGTGCTGGGACGCTGATACCGCTGACCGCCACTTTCTGATTTCACCGCACCCTAATCATCAAGGACTGTACGTGGCTGCCGGAGGATCAGCGCATGGTTTCAAGTTCCTGCCCGTGCTGGGCAAGTACATTGCCGACTTGCTGGAAGGATCTTTAGAGTCTGACATTGCCCGGCAGTGGCAATGGCGCGCAGGCCAGACGGTGACAGCGAAGAATCTAGCCCATCAGGATCCGGAGTTGGAGTTGAGTGACCTGACAGGATGGAAGGGACGTAAGACTCGTGAGAGGGGGCCTAGATTGTAATAATCATCAGGATGAGAAAATAATGCATACGATAATGAATGACTATGTTAGCGCTAGCTTCCACCCCCCAAGCATCGTCATCGCATGTTCCCACTCAAAGCGGGCTGTCTTCTCTGACATGGCGTCATTAGCAATTTCATTTAGGTTAAGGTCACGGCGTCGCCAAACCATCTCTACCACTTCTCTTGCCGGGGTGATGTTCTAAACCATTAGCTTGTGAAATGGTATCCGTGGGTGAATAGACGTACACCAAAACGACGAATGGCCTCCCACTCTTGGAAAATCTGCAGAACAATGACTCTGTCCTTATCATCCGAGACACAGCAACCTGCTAGGAAGAGAGGCCATAGAGGGATCACTGCAGTGCGCCTCATGTTGGACTTGTGCGCCTGTATGAGATCGAGAATCTGACGAACATAGCGGAGTTTTTCCTCAGACGTAAACGATGGACATGAAGAGGTTGACGTAGAAGACGAACATATCTCACATAGAAGCAACATTGCGCCCAAGCGATTTGCTTCAGCAATGACCATACATTCTTGCCCCGAGTGCAAGTCGATATCCGCATGAGGTGGCGTCTGACGGAGCACCTCCAACGAGTGCTTCAGTCTATATGCGCTCTGAATGTCCAGCTCACGCTCTTGCCATGCTAAGTCAGTCACTCCATCTATCAAGAGAAGCAGCGCATGGCTGAATCCCATATAAGGATCAATAACATCCGAGGATGGACTCGAAGGCAAGGCAGAAAGACATGGATGCGTTCGTGGACAATCCCATCGAAAGGCAGTTCGGGCAAGAACGAGGTGGAAAACAAAGTAACGGTCGAAGAAACCAACAAGCTCCTGGCTGTGCTGCGACGATGTTTTCCAATATCTTTGCTTTCGTGCAGACATGACATTCTGGAACCCATCAAGGTGAGTCACCCACGATGAACGACTATGATCTGAAATCTAATGGTGTTAACTCTCACGTCTGGACTAGTGTGGTAGTGTTGGATTTTCTCAATACCTCAAACCAACAGAGCATCAGAACAAGCCCCAATATCTCGTCCATCTCCCGATCTGACCAAATATCCTGATCTAGAAGACCTTGGAGGTGGAGTAGCGCACGGTGATGGTGTTCCAGAGCAGGAATGCGATACCGCACTTGTGAGAGACGCAGGGTATTTGCGGAAATGGCCAATGCCGCATGATAGATGCCATCAGAACTAAGAGCCATGGGCAAGATCAAGTATCGATATGGATTGGATTGTACATTGTCGACCAGGGTTGAGCTGCTGCAAATGACCGTCTCAAAGAATGCCAGCAGCATAGGATCCTCGCTGGATCGATTCAGGACCGTGACTGGCATTGTATTCATTGCGGGTGAAAGTAGCAGCCGTGGATGACCGAGCGAGTTCCCGCCATATCCCCTATGGTACTCCACACAGAGCCGATTCACGTCGTCAGCAGACGTGTTTAAAAACATCCACTGCTGGTGCGAAATTCTAGGCGTAGGATGTCGCGGCATCTTAGCCAGGTCGTGCTCATTTGAAACATCCATTCTCTTGCGGCCGTTTTTTGACCATACTCCGGTCCTACCATGACAGACGCCCTTGGCGATCGATTCGTCAAGCCAGGTCAACTGAAAGCTGTATTCGCAGCCCCGGTTGTTTCGCGCGCAGCGACGGCAGACGGGATGGCTCTCTTTGTTATGCATTAGCTTACAGAGGCTATTCAACCCGGAGGTGAATTATCGTACCATCACATTTTACCCTCCGAGCCCTGCAGGCCCGGCAGCCTGTCCGGGTGCGAGAGATGGTCGAGCGCGCCATGAGATGGAGAGGAATGGCTGCGGAGAAGGAAGGAGTGGTTTATCCGAAGCCATTTATAGGCCACGCGGGGAACACCCCGACCTTATCAGCGAAACCTTAATACATATAGCTGCACTCAATATAATTCTTGGTTATCTCTTGTCATAAAACCCCATTCCTCGGTGCCCTAACTTCTCTTCCTCAAATCGGCTGGTCCAAGCCCCAATGTTTCAATGCAAAGACAGCGACATAGGCCATCTGTTCTGTTAATGCGACCGTTCTGATGGTTTGAAAGAGAAGCGTGCAATGTCAAATCCAATCGAAATGAACATAATCATCGTGCAAGTGGACAGATGCTTGGGATATCCAGCCACTGGTGTCGCGGTTATCTCTAAAAGAGTGCTGTAAAGTCATATTGTGTAGGGTGCTTCCCCGTTCCTCCGATGAAGCATTCCACACCTCATCACTATCTGGCATGCTAAAGTCCAGATCTGCGAGCGTAAGAAGTGCACTCATTTGTGAGCCACCGTGACTTTGACCATCAGAATCGACTATCTGTTTTGGCCCACATAGCCGGCATAACTTATAAAGAGCCAACCCGAATCGCTTAGCTTCTTCCACACTTACCCAGATGAGAGCTACTGGCGCATCAAGGGGATGCTGAGCTAGCATATTCGGATACGAGAACAATCCCAGCTGCCGACAGGTTTCCACGAGCGATGTGAGTAGTTCGTATTTGGATGATGGCAGGTGACAACGAAGGTTCAGGTCAAAAGTCGCCTCCTGCTTAGCTATGAGCAGAGCAAATATAAGCTGGAGAAGAATGCTCTGGTATGTCTGCATCTGCCAAGATTTCATCTTGATATGCTGTGGTGTTGATTCCGACACATGCCACCGAGACTATGATTAAAAAGAAGTCAGCCCCTGTTTGACAATACTGATCATGCTACAATCCCTACTTTTTGTGCCTGTATAGCAGACAGCAATTTTTGATGGAAATGCATCGCCGACTCACGCCCCTCCCGGTCACCCTTGATCCATAGTCCAATCATTAGCATGGACTGTATGAGTATGCAAGGCTCCTTGGTAAGGTCGAATGTTCCTTTATGAAGAAAAGGCCAAACAGGATGAAATTCGCTGAAGTAAATATCTATGAAATCCTGGGCGATCCACCGTGATGCGTCGGGAACTGATGCATTCAGCTCAGTCCTCAAATCCTCCTGTGTCCCAAGCACCTGTTGCTTCTCGTCCGCAGTTGCGTTGACATCAAGCGAACAGCTCAACCCTCGTTGTTGACACCGGCTGCACGGATGTCCGCCATCACAGCGTTCTTTTCGGGCATGGCACTTTTGGCAAGCCTTTACTGCCCGAGACTGTGGAGGCTTTCTCTCAGGGTGATAATTTCGAACATGACGCCGTAACAGATCGCTGGTCTACAGTTAGCTTTGAAAGCAGATGTTCAGGGGCTCCGGTCATGGCACATTCCTCCGGGCTAAAGTACTCTCACAATAAGGACACGAGAGGCGTTCGCCTTCCTTATGACGCGCAGTATGTCTCTTCAAGTGTTCTCTCCGCTGATAAGTTGCACCACAACCTGGATGACTACATCGAAAGCCATAGTGTGACCTAGTAGGTTTTGGGGGAGGCATTATCGTTGGCTGGTTCGGGGCTCTCAGTTCTTGCGAGGATGTAAGAGGGATGCCGGGAAGTGACGAGAAGAAGTGACGCAAGTTACCGAAGTGGCCGCTGTTGCACCCGCTCCACGGATGAAACCAACACCAAAATGCCAATAGGTAATCATCACCTTTGCAACATGTATTGGCGGAAAGGGTACTTGGTAATCGATTATATACTTCTGTTATTAAGGATTAGTATTCAGGGTCGTTCCCCACTTAAGATACCATATCGGTATCCCACTCGGTCTCCCGCTCCAGGTTTGCCACGCCATGAATTACCACTCTTCAGATCTTATTTGGAATATTATATGTGATTATTATTTCAGCAAAAAAAAAAAAAAAAAAACAAAATAAAAAACAAAATAAAAAACAAAATAAATGAATGAATAGAAGACCCCGAAGAAATTATAACCAGCATTAGATTGACTAATTCATAAAAGAAATTGTTTGTATTTAGAGATAGAATTATTGAGAATATCTGCCGTATATGAGGAGGGATACCGAAGGGCGGGATACCAGAGGCGGGATGCCGAAATAAATCAGATTTCTTCATTTCAAAAATGCTTACAAGCACAAGCTGAGTATATCATTAGTAGTCTATTATGTGAACAATATCAAACTTCTCTGCTGTGCCACTCAGCAAGGTTTCAGCTATAAATACTGGCCATCGAAGACTTGCCTACTTTAACAAGATACTCACGTTCTGCCCAGATTCCCAAGTACTAAGTACTACTATTCAGATCTATATATTGTGCCTTGCGCAGTTATCGGCAGACAGTACCTTTCTACAAGTCGTTCTCTCATCAATCAGCCCCTCTTCTCAAGCTCATCAGCAATCATGGCACCCACTCTTAACATCACCCATATTGGCACTGCTACAGCCATCCTCGAGATCAATGGGGTTAATATGCTCACCGACCCTTTCTTCTCTCCTGCCGGAACCTCTTTCCCTATGACCGACAAGTTTTCTCTCAAAGTGGAGGACGACCCTGCCCTCCGCCTAGATCAGCTTCCTATCATTGATGCAGTCCTGCTCAGTCATGAAGACCATGTCGACAACCTTGACGACCTCGGTCGCCGCCTGCTTGATGGACGCCGAGTCTTCACTACTGTTGACGGTGCGAAGAATCTTTCCCCTCGACCCGCAGTTCATGGCTTCGAGCCCTGGGAAGAAATGGAAGTTGCCATTGCCGGAAAGAAGTTCCAGGTTATTGGCACCCCAACCAAGCACGTCGATGGTAACGAGTGTACCGGCTTTATCTTGACCGGGGAGGACTTTGGTCATGGTCGCGACGGTCTTCCTAACGCAATCTACTTCTCGGGTGATACGGTTTACTTGAAAGAGTTGAAGCAGATGGCAGAGCGCTTTCATATTTGTGCTGCGATCGTCAACCTCGGTAATGCTCATGCGCCTACGGACATCACAGACCCCAGCAGCCCCCCTTATCAGATCACCATGGATGGCAAACAGGCCGCGCAACTCTTCCGCGAAATCAAGGCCGATCACCTTGTACCTATGCATTATGAGTCCTGGCATCATTTCACACAGTTTGGGCAAGAGCTGCGTCAAGCTTTCCAGGAAGAAGGAATTAGTGACCAGGTATGCTGGCTCAAACCTGGGGAGCCAGTGAAGGTTCTGTGATTACGCCCATCACAGTGAGTAAACGATGGGGTCATGCAAATCTTGTTTTGCTTCAAACGACCATGTGTTGTCTCATGTGTCTGCAGTCGGAAGTGTCAAATCTTAACAGAAAAGACCATCAAAAGCTTCTAGTCTTAGCTTTTCAAACCCTTTTAAAAAATGAATGTGAAAACTAGTAATCAGTATACGATTGAGCCTACAGCCTCAATGTATTCTCTTACACGTAGTCCTATAACGAATAAATTCTCAACAACTGATTGAACGCATCAACTGTCTGGATAGATCATAAAGAGCAACGTAGGGAGACTTGACACGCACTACAAATGTTGCATGTCACAGGAACCAACAGACTACCGTGGTGTAGCATAGTATGAGAACAATAGACAGGAAGAGTACGTAATAGACAAATGATTGAAAGGGGAAGGATGATTTGGCAGCCCGTGACCTCAAGCACGTGGCCTCAGCCCAATGCGTTCTTTCTATTCCTCTTCTTCCTCTCCCACTTCCCCAACATGTCCATAAACATGCGATCATTTCATCATAGATGGGGTTTTGCAAGCTCCTGTGTTCGAATACTCCCGATCGCCATTGCTACTTGGTTTAATTTCTTGGCTCTAGCTATGAATGCTAGCCTTTTAAGGCAAATGTATGGCGTCCCTTGGCACGCTGTCCTCCCTGCACTGACAAACTAGCTCGGCTGATGTTCCACCTCAGCCTATACAAGCCATGCTGCGATGCATAAACCGTATTTTGAAGAGTTCTACGACGCGGGTACCTCACATGCCAAAGGGATTTTCATCCACTTACGAAGCCTTTCTCGGCGGGAATAGAACTACGACTCGTGAATGGCAGCCTATTGCAATGCATACGTACGCTGGATGGGAGGACCTGGGTTGGAAGCGAGGAGCTAACATAATTCAGACGGTGAACACTGGTGAAATGCGGAGAACACCGACCAGAAAGGAATTCATCGTCTATTTTTGTGTTTGGTCTCAGGTGTTGCAGATACTAGTGGGCATTTTGAATCGACCTCAGCACTATGCTTACCCCTTACGGAACACGCTTCTTCCAAGAACTCCATCGAAGCAATTCACGATCTGCATTATGTAGGCCTTGGCGATAATGCAACACGTACTTGACCAAGTTACTGATGTCTTCGAGGCAATGTTTCGGTGGAAGATCGACTTTTCAATGCGCTCCAATAATAATCGGGGTGACTCGGAAATGATGCTGCCTTCAGTTTCCGGTGGCCCTGCCAAGACGAGAAGTATGTGAGTACTACCGCTTCGAGAGATGCAGGGGACATAGCCCTGCCTGTCTACGAGCTCGCGGCCGATGATGCTGTCTAATTACTGACCCAGATCCAGATGAAGATAAGACATTTGGGGACGAAGCCGACTGGCCTGGCCTGAGACGCAGAAGATGAGTTTTGTAAGAGGTGCACATATTGAATCCTCGATACGCCCTATGTGGCCTTGTCGTTTCAGACATGATGAGACACCATGCAAGGGGTAGCAACGAGGAAGTTGCAGCCTGCCATTACGCCATCTATCGACCCCAAAAAAAGCGTAATATGTGAGAATGCATGATTGGTCATCCATGACCTCTTTCAGCTGCCCACGAGCATTACGTACGAGGCAGCATACTGCTGTCAGCCAAGCCATGGATTGTCGCGCTACTATGATCGACGACGACGCGTATAGTCAAGGTCTTAGATGACTCCCTCTAATTGCATTTTGGAGAAGCTATATAATGATGCTCAATAACCCACCATCATATCTATACGCTTGTACACAAACAAGTCCATTTCATATCACATTCATACTTTACTGAAAATGGGTCCACCGTATGTTCCACCGTTGTCGCACTTGAGACAGTACGTGTCTAACCTCCCAGCAGGGTGAGCGGAACACCGCTTTCATGGCAAGAGCTTCAGCAAGTTGCACCTATTGCTCGTCAAGGGGCCGTGGAGGTAAGTGCTTCCTATATGCCTTCTGAATGCATGTCGCTAACGGTAAAAGCAATTGCTATCTCTATGGAAGAGGCAAAAAAATAGAAGCGATCTTGAACCACTATGGGGTGACGAGGTAAGGCATCACCTGCTGTAGTTATATTGAAGGAGACGCTGACTCGACAGATTGAATATACCCTGGTCAGCCTTGACGCAAACAAGTCGCGAGCAACACTGCTTCTTAACCAAGAAGACATCCTACGAAAAGAAGAAAAACAATGTGCTAAAGCTGAGGAAGTGTAAGTATTTAGTAACACTGGCAAAGACAGGATACTGAGACATGATAGTGAACCCTGGAATGAAGTCAAGTTACAGGCGGAATGGGCTCGACATATGGTTGAAGCAACTCCGGGAGAGCCATATGGGGGCGATATTATGGACCTACTCAGGGTTCAAGGCAATATGAAGCGACGGTATGTTGAATCTCGCGACAAGTAGACATAAAGCTGACGTTCTTAGACGGAAATTGATCGGGCAATTTCTATCGCCCGACCAACACCCTGTACCGTTGTGTGTCTTCCCTGGCTTAGGTGAAAAGGGACAGTTCACACTCCCAGAAAGTCCGCATGAAGAGTCTCTTGAGCAAATCTGCTGTCCCATACCGCGCTATATAATGATGACAGAGAACTTGCTGGCACGGCGACAACGGCGTGTCGAGAGCTACATTCCAATATTTCGAGATGAGCAGACGCAAACGCCTTTTCATGACACTTCTGTGTCTTTTGAATACCCCGCAGAGCATCCCCCCGGGAATGGAAAAGAGGGCCATGTCCATCTGGATGGGATCGGTCTCGGGGTCGGGAATTGCTGCATTCAGGTTACGTTCCAGGCTCCTAATGAAATTGAAGCGCGATGGTTACATGACCAAATGATCGCATTGGGGCCGGTTATGTTAGCACTTACTGCTGCTACGCCGATGTTTAAGGGTTATCTGGTAGATACAGAAGTGCGCTGGGGCCGAACCTCTGAATGCTTTGACGATCGTACTCCGGAAGAGTTAGCCACGACGGTATTATGCACACCCTAAAGTTTCTTGGCTTGACTAACTCATGCAATGCAGCCACCACGGTATTCTTGGAACCGCACATATATCTCGCAAGAGAAGCCAGCCAATCTCGAAAGCAAATCTCCGCTGACTCCCATGAATGAGTCGGTCAAACAACGCTTACTAGATGGCGGCATGGACGAACCTTTGGCGATGCACTATGCCAATATCCTCTCGAGGGACCCAATTGTGCTCAACCGAACAGACCTGGAAAACTTTGATCTAAATAGTACGGGCATATTTGACGTCTACTACAGCACTGTATGGCAACATGTCCGACTCAAGATCCCCTTAACCGACGATGGACCCGGCTGGCGGGTAGAGTTCCGACCGATGGAAGTACAATTGACCGATTTCGACAACGCTGCTTTTGCCATTTTCATGTACCTTCTTTCTCGAGCCATCACGGAACTTCACTTGAACTTTTATGTGCCTATCGACCAGCTGGGAGACTCCATGGAACGGGCGCAGAAGCGCAATGCTGCCCTCGAAGAGCGCTTCTGGTTCCGCCGGACCGGATGGTCATCCGCAGAGCAGTGCGAGCGTCCACAGCGTCAGCGGAGAGGTTGTGTTAACTGCTGCTCAAAATCTACTGCACATGCATCACCGTCATGTGCGCTTCTCACGGCGGACGAGATCATCAACGGCGAAGATCCAAAGGTGCCCTCCAGCTTCCCTGGACTGGTGAACATCGTGCGCGCCTATCTTCAGTACAGCAACACGCCCGTGATGGACCAAAAGAAGATCATGCCCTACCTGGATGTGATCAGTAAACGAGCAAGCGGAGAGCTTCCGACGCCAGCCCAGTGGATGCGCTCATTCGTGACCGGTCACGAGGAGTACCAGCGAGACAGCTATGTGAATGAGAAGATCCGTTATGACATGATCCAGGAGATTATTCGGATGGAAGAGTGATGAGTTGATGGTTATTATGCGCAACGCTTTTGGTTCATATGCATAGTTATAGAAGTATCATAGATGTCTCTGCTGTATCTATCTTTCTAATCATGACAGTTACGATCAATACCATCCTTTGTCCAATGGCCACTACGTCATATTTCAATATTAATCTGTTGGCGGTGAAACTATCACTAAATACAGGCTGAAAAGGATCGACGTAGGGCACATTCCACGCCGCGTCATGTCGCAGATTATGCTTTTATTCATTGCAGATCATGTATGCTTGATTCATTTAACTAGGCAAGGCCGTTGGAAGGGGGATGAGAAGTTAGTACTGAGTTTAGATAGCACCGCACAATTCTAGCCCTACATTTAAGTTCAGGAACCGCTAAAGCCTGGAATTTTAATGACATGAATGCATTTGAATAAAACAATATCAAAGAATCCATTAAAAGATGAGATCAACTTACATGATGATTAATCAACAACAACAACCGCCCCCTGCAGATAATGTAGTACACAATACCCACTCCTCGAATCAAGGGGCGATGAATAACTACGTATGTATCATCGTCATGATCATCACACCTCATCCGCAAAACTACTTTTCCTCCTCAACCTCTCCCCAAACCACCACAACACCCACGGAATAGGACACCCAATAACCACCGCTACAAACCCCAAAAGGCTATTCCCCCATCCATATCCCAGCACGCGGTACATAACGGGACTAAACAACGGGAACCCAAACCCCGTCAATCCCCGCAGGATATAAACTCCACCGTTCGCACTCGCCCCGTACACACTATACGCTTCGAGGAGGTACGCGCTCGTACACTGGAAAATGACCGTAGCGCCCATGAGCGGCAGAGCAATACCGATATCTGGAACGATCCAGTGGGTTCTGTACTGTGCGGACCAGCCGTAGATAAAGAAGCCGATGGGGACGAGCAGACTCGCGGGGATCATGAGTGGGAGGCGGAATTCGGGCTTGCCGATGCCGTGGTTGGAGGTTTTGAGACGCAGGTAGATCTTGTCTGAGACTAGGGCGCAGGTTTGTGCGCCTAGGAGGTAGCCGATGCACGGGGCGAGGTAGTGCAGGGAGCCGGTGCTGGCGGGCAGGTGGTATTGGGTTTTCCATAGGGTGGGGAAGGTCGAGAGGATGAGGTAGACGAGGCCGTAGATGTAGCCGTAGTAGAGGGAGAGGGCTTGGACAATGGGTTGGGTGAGGAGGAGGCGGAGGGTGCGGAAAAGAGTGCGGTGGTAGAGGGTTGTTAGGGTTTGGGATTTGGAGGTGGAAGGTGTGGTGGTGTTTGTGGCTTGCTCGAATTGGGTGAGGAGTGTGAGGTCTTTGTAGGCTGGAGTAAGTTGGAGAGCTTGTTTCTTGCGGCGGAGGAGGACTGGGGCGTAGGTCTCGCGTGACAGACATAGTGAGGTTAGGATTATGACACCGGCGAATATTGAGGTCGCGTGGAAGGCCCATCGCCAGGTTGAGTACTCTGTTATGTAGCCGCCTGCTATGGGGCCGAGGCAGGAGCCGAGGACGGGACCCATGTTAAGAAGAGCGAGACTTAGCCCGCGCTGTTCTTTGGGGAAGATATCACCGGTGGTGCTGACGCCGGTCTAGATATGCTTTTGTTAGCGAAAGCGATGGGGGGTGCGGCTTGATGGAGGGAGATTTGGGAAAGTACAGCTAATGAAGCACTGGCGCCTAGTCCGCTCAACAGGCGGAATACTAAGAGCTGGGTTATGCTTTTTGAGAAACCCGCGGCCAGATTGAAAGCGAGGAAGAAGACATTTCCTGACTGCTGGATGGGAACGCGGCCGAGCAGTTCGCTAAGAGGTGCTAGCACCAATGGGCCCAGACAGTAAGTGAGCAGGAACAGGGATACTGTCAGAGAGCCCTTGACATCTGAAGTAACATGGAAGTCGGCCTCGATGGCATCAAGAGCTGGTGCGATGATAGTTGATGTTAGGGGCATAAGGAAGATGGGCAGAGTCACCGTCAGGAGGATGGTATATTTCCGATAGCTGGGCCATTGATGCGGATGCTCATGGGGATCGAAGTCCACGATAACAACTGGAATTGTGGCTGAGGGCTCATGGTTCTCTTCGCTGATGGCCTGGCTAATTTTTTCATCGACCATCTTGGGAATTGGGGCTGATGGAATGCTTCTAGTGAGACCATGTCTACCTTTGAATAGCTCTTATAGTCAACGCAGAGGCACATTCCATCACCCGCTGCGTAAGTGTAAGGAGGGACATTCTTTACAATGGTCACCAATCCACCTCCGCGGGGTGTATTTGGGTGAGTAGGATATCAGTGGGATTCAAGGGATACGGAAACACATGCGAGTCATGATGGTCCTTTTTGCCTTGTTGGCAGTTGACTCCCCTAGGTTGTTCCTTCGGGATAGAAGCCATCTTGGAGGGTTACTCTATAAGCGTCTCGGGTAGTACCACAGTACGATGGATCAAATGATAATATTTCTCTGTTCTTTCTTCCAATTCAGTCTAATATCAAAATTTATGAAGATGGTCATATACCAAATCTAGGTAGAGAGAGAGAGAGAGAGAGAGAGAGAGAGAGAGAGAGAGAGACTTGAGATAGTTCTGTGATGGAATATTGCGTTTTTTTTTTTTTTTGTGAATAGTATAGGGAATACAAGTCTATGATCATGTCATTGGTTAGGAAATATCATCCTTCAATCCTTCGATCCTTCAAGTGGCCGGATGGCGGAAAAGATGACCGGATCACGGAGGAGGGCTGGTCCGCTCGGAAGTATGTTTAATCTCATCCTCCTTCCAGGATGCAACTCGATCCGACCATCCTCAACACTTCAGGACATCGTTGTGCTAACAAGATGCTAGAAAGTAGGGCTCGAATTTGTAATGATTGGGGGTATGCCAAGGCTATCTTCAAGTAGTTAAATAGCACTTGCTTTTCGACATTCATATGGTATAGTTCTAACATCAACTGTCAATATACTTACTTCGTTTCTTTCACATATCGAGAACTGATACTATACAACTATGACTATTACCACTACCACCACTACTACGGTTGCTGTCGCCGGTGGAACTAAAGGTCTTGGTCTAACCATTGCAGAAGCATTGGCCGTCCATGGCAAGCACAATGTGGTCATATTCAGTCGAAAGGTGAGTGTAATATCTCCAACTGAACCAGACGAATCGCCTTGCTAAGACTACGAAGAGTACTCCCGGTCTAGACGAGAAGCTACCAGCTCGTTTGGTCGTTGTTGATTATGACAACGTCCAAAGTCTGACAGAGGCTCTCGAAGAAAACAAAGTCAGCGACGTGATCTGTACCATCAACGCATATGGAAGCTCTCTACCAGAAAGGAACCTCATTCGCGCGTCGGAGAACTCTTCTACGACAAAGCGATTCATCCCCAGCATTTTTGCCGGGTTCGCATATCCCACCAAGTTAGTAGCCATGCTCCCCCAAGTACTCGGGGGGTTGGAGAAAGCCTATCACGTATTGACCTTTGTCTTCTAGGTATCCCGAGGTCGCCAAATCCAAAACAGAGGCGCTAGAGGAACTGGCGAAGACATCTCTAATGCACACTGCTGTCTACAACGGCATGTTCATGGATTTCTACGGGTCTCCTCTGCTCAAATCCAACGTCGGTTCCTTTCCGATGTTTGTTGATATAGCCAACAATGTGGCAGCCAAACCCGGATCCGGAGACCAAGCCGTCGTGCTCACCCGGGTTCTGGACATTGCGAGATTTGTTGTCCGCATCCTAGATCTTGCGGTCTGGCCAAAGGAAAGCTATATCATTGGTGACAGGGTCACGCTTCATGACTTTGTTAATATGGCCGAGGAGGCGAGAGGTATGTGCATCTAACTGTATTAGGTATCTACTGTAACTTATCTAATGGGGCTATTCCAGGTGCCAAGTTTCAAATAACCCATGACTCCAAGGAAGAGTTAGAAGCAGGACAGGTCACGGAATTACCTTGCTACGAGACCACCTTTGCTGTAGTGGGCAAAGAAATGACCAAGCAACTATTTGCTCAGACTGGGTTGTGGATTATCGGAAATGAGCTTGACCTCAGACCTGTCAGCACTCTCAATGAGACTTTCCCGGATATCAAGACTATGACCTTGCGGGAATTCCTCGAGCTTTCATGGAAGGTTTAGATTGATGATGGGGTAATTTGGTTGCGACATCAGAAGGGTGAGGGAGAAATTACGAGACAAGGTAACTTGGTAGCAAGGAAGATATCATTGGCTGATTGGTTAGCGCCTCTCACAGGAGGGGTCTGTGAGGGCACAGAAAGATCGAGTGGTATGATTGGAAGAGCTCTCGAGACTATATATAAAAATATACTAAAGATAGCGAATGCTTAATACATGTGATAGGCTATACCCGCATAGCCGGAATTATATCCTGAACTCTGACTTCCTTCCCCTATATCTCGTGACATGATACGACGAACAAAGCGTTTATAGCGTAACATGCAGGGGTTTGCTAATTTGTAGGGTTACAACACTAGCCTCACGAGCACCCTTAGTTTGCGGGTCAGTCGGAACGAAGCGATGCTGTGAGAGGCCATAGCGAGACAGACTAAGATGAAAACAAGCCTCACGGCCGAGTTTGCCGACCTTTATCCACTCGGAACCATCCAACCACACTCGCCTAAGCGCTAGGGTTTTGGGGCACCATGAGCTTGGCTTCTTTGGTCTTAGATTGCATTTATAGCTCAGTTCACGAGCGTTCATGGTCTGTCAGCCTTGCAGGTAGACCCTCCGTGAGACCCAATAGCTGATTTTGCTGCGGCCACCAGGAGATGAAGTCCTGAGTGGGAAATTGGATATATATGACCCCTGAGCAAGCCCGTCTTTGCGAACATGCCAGAACTTCACTCACTTCGCCTGCGGGCTATACATGATGGCTACCATGAACAGCCCCCCTCAAGTGGCTGTGAATGCCCAAAGGAACTCAAATGAGCCAAGTCCGATACTGGAGCCTCTGCGGTATCGGACG